AAGGTCCATGGCTTCCCGCAATCTATAGTCATCGATCGTGATGCTGTTTTCTTGAGTGAGTTTTGGTGTGAACTCTTTAGTTTTCAAGGCATGGCACTTAATTTATCAAGCGCTTACCACCTGCAGAGTGATGGGCAAAGCGAGGTCGTTGATTGATGTTTGGAAACATACTTACGATGTATGTGTAGTGACCGACCTCACCTTTGGAGCAAACGGCTCCCCTTGGCAGAATTTTAGTATAACACTAATTACTATACAGCTATACAAATGACTCCCTATGAAGCTGTTTACGGTAAAGCGCCTCCTCAACATTTGCCTTGTTTACCTGGTGAGTCAAAAGTGGCGGTAGTTGCAAAGTGCTTACAGGAACGAGAAAATATGATTATGATCCTGAAGTTTCATTTGCTCTGAGCTCAACTCAGGATGCAACAGTTTGCCAATCAGCATAGAACAGATCGCAGCTTTGAAATTGGAGATTTTGTGTATGTGAAACTCCAACCTTATCGGCAGAAATCAGTTGTGATGCGCTCAAATCAGAAGTTTTCTCCTAAGTATTTTGGACCTTACAAAATCATTGATAAATGTGGAAAGGTCGCCTACAAGTTACAAATACCGACGACATCTCAGATTCATCCAGTGTTTCATGTTTCTCAACTGAAATTGCAGGTTGATAATGTGACTGTGTCGAACCAATTGCCTTCTATAACACAGGATGTGTTGGTCAAAGAACCTGAGCGAATACTAGAACGCAAGATGGTTAACCGTCAATGGTCTTGTTGAAGTGGACATCTCAAACCGAGGAAGAGTCTACATGGGAACTTCTTTTCGATTTGCAGAAGAAGTATCCTTCTTTCAAACCTTCAGGACAAGGTTTTTCAAATTGGGGAGATTTGATATAGGATATTTACGTTAGTATGAGAACTCCGTATTGGATTCAATTATTATGAGTTTTCTAAGATAGGATTATGGATATTCTTAATTATGCTTATTATCAATTGTCGGCTTTGATACTTATATAAGGAGATGTAACAGACCTTTAATATCATTCAGAAATAAAAAGGAAATTCTTCGTCTCTCTTGTCTTCTTCGTTAAGTTGCTCAACCCTAGCTGAAAATCTCTTCTACTATCGTAGATTCTCTGCCGGTGAGTGCGGAATCCGTGTTTTAGGAACAATGATTTCGAGTTCTATCAGTTATTCAGGAAACTGCAGGTTTATCTCTATCACTTTCTCAGCACCGACGCCTGCCTCTCCTCCTCCCTTTGTGTGTATGTTCTTCTTTCTTTTCTCTAGCTGCCGGTTCGGTTGCAGCTGCAAGTGAAAATTTTATCGGTGTTGGTTTTCGTTTGACGGTGGCGCGAGCTCAACGGCGTCGTTGGGGTCGCGGTGTTGGAAGATTTTTGTCTCGTGTGGACAGCCTTTGTCGCCTCGTCTCTCTGTCGGTGCTTTCTTCCTCCTTGTTGCTATCCATCGTTTTCTCTTTCCGGCGGTTCCAGCTTTAGATTTTAGAGCCTCTCATGCCTGAAGCGTGCTCTCCGGCTTTCTTCGGTGGTGGAGTCGTGGCTTTCGGCCTTCTCCTCCGACTTTGGTCCCTCCCTTGTTTTGTTTCTCTCAAGGCAGCGGAGTGGACGGTGTTTGTAGATCTGAGTTCTTAAACTCCTGGATTTGTTCATAGAGGAAGGGTTCAATCGACGTCATTTGTTGTTTGAGGCTTGTATCTAGTGGCTAGCCTCATAATGGTGTGGCTCCATCAGTGGCATCTTTTTGCGGTTGTTTTAAACGTGTGGCTCGACAGATGCTCTCCTCAGTTGGTGGTCAGTTCCGGCAGGTGTGTGTTTTGTTTCCTTGGCTAGATCCAATAGTTTGCGTGGTTGTGTCTTGGCTTCGGTTAGATTGGCTCTAACAGTGGTTCGGTGGTGAAGATGAGCGATGCCATAAGTTAAATAGAGGTGGAAGTTCTGTCCTTATGATTATTTTGTCTCTGTGGGAGTTAGGCTCCTGTGCCGCCAGATGCATGTAGTCTGTTTGGTTGAATCAGAGATGGCGTCAGTTCTCAAAGAAACTGTAAGTATCTCTTTCTAAGAGGTTTGAGGACTGCCTCAGAAGGATGCTCGTGGTAACGTAGATGAGAACTCCAGTTTTTTTTGAACTATGGTATAAATGGGATAGTCTACACTTTGGCAAAGCGTTGATTTACTGTTTTTTCGTCTGGTTTCGTTTAGTTATATTTAATTTTTTCTAACAATTTTATAGTCTTCTTCTATTTATTGTTGTTTCTTAGTCATTTTTGTTCAGTTTTTAATTTTCGGTCTTTCTGCTTTTCTTTATTTGATTTTTGTAATTCTGTCTAAAATTAAAATTAATATAAAATTTAATATTTTACAAAAAAGAAAACGATAGAGAAGGATTGACTGAGTGAAGAATCATTGGGTTAAAAAGTGCCAAATCGAACAGAACCGAACCGAGAACGGAAAGCATGTAATATGTTGACGATCGGTTAACAGCTTCAAACCGAATCAAAGCCAAAATTTTCAGTTCTGTTCGGTTTGAGCCAAATGTTTTTTTTTTTTTTTGAATAAGGGCTTATTTGACCCGAATGTTCAGGACTTTTATCCTATAAAATTGCAAAAGTACCTACACAATTCGCCATTTCATTGATGTCTTCTTTTTTATTGTTTTGGAAAAAAATATGTTGACAAAATTAATATTTTGGATTTGTCCACATTATACGACTTTAGTCATGTCTTAATTTCGGACAAGCGTAAGAAATTATGGTCCTCCATACGTGTGTTGATTTGATTAGAATGGTATTCACCCGGTGAGAAAAAAAAGAAGAGAAATTACTTGGAATGGCTCAAATTCAGCATTTTATTACTACACTAACTCTTAGTTGACAGATTTACTAAAATGATTCTAATTTTAATTAAAAAGTCTATTAACCCATTGATTAATATTTATTCTACAATATTGTCATTTATCTCTAATATATATTATTAATATCCATAATATATATAATTAAAGAAAATAATAAGATGAAAGATTAAATAAAATCTTGATTCTAAATAAACTTGTCGACAAAAGAAAAAAAAAGTCTTTCTCTTCCTCGACGACTCCGACGAAGAACACAAACCTCCAACTCCAACATTCGCCGGCTTAGTCATCACCACCTCTTCGTCCGGCGACTCTGTTGCCTGGGTTTCAATATATTTTCCTCCTGCTAATATCTCTCGCCTCTTTTGATTTCCTCCTGCTAAGTTTTTCTCTCTAAGTCTTTCTCTCGCCTCTACTTCAACCACATCGCAATCGCAAAGGTTCCTCTTCTGTGGGGTTTTCCTGGTATGTGAATTCAATTTTGTTTCTTTTCTCAATTGAATTTTGTTTCTCTTCTCTCTCAATTGAATTATTTGCCTCTTCTCCGCCAATTGATTTTTTTCCTCTTCTCCATCAATTGTTTTTTTCAACCAAATTCTTAGATTACATTCTCTTACATTCTTGGCCAATTGACTATGTTTTAACTATATACTAGGTTTGAAGTAATTGTAGCTGAAAAAAGTTTGCTTTCAACTTGTTTGTCGTTGATAAATCTCTAATTTTGAAATTCTGTTTTTTTTTCTAGACATGGTGTCTTCAAGTGGTAGGAGAAAGTATCATCAGCTTCAATTTGAAAAAGGGAAAGCACCTATTCAAAGAAAAAGCACCAACCACAACTGTTACATGAGCAAATTGTCAATGGTGAAAGAAGAAGTTGGAGAAGATGTATGGAATGCCATAAGGGATTCATCAGTTGGAGTCTTTATTAGGTTTCACGAAATGGATTATATCTGGTCCGCGAGGACTGTCCATTACTTATTATCAAATCAGTTGGAGGTGAAGAAGAATCAGGAAATATGGTCGCTCATTGATGGACAACTGATAAGGTTTTCTTTGTATGAATTTGCAGACATTACTGGTCTGAATTGCGATCCATTTGACGATCAAAACAGCTGGGATGTCGACCTTAGAGAGTTTTGGAGCGAACTAGAGGTTTCTGCAGGGCATGGACCTTCACTAAATGAGCTGAAATTGGTTTTGAATAGATGCAGAGCCTGGAGTTTCGCCAAGAGAAGAATGGTCGGGCTGTTGTGTATTTTGTCAGTTGCAGTATTTGGTATATCTCCTGCTAGTAGAATCCCTTTGGAATGTGCCAAGAAAGTCATGGATCCAGATATCTTCGACAGATACCCTTGGGGTCAAGTGGGTTTTAAAAGTCTGATAGATTCGATTAAAATGATCACTTATGGAGAAAACAACACATACATAATTCGAGGGTGTATTCATGTTTTGCTCATATGGGCTTATGAGTCAATACATTGTCTAGGAACAGAGTATGGGAAGAAGAAAGAAGGGCAAGATGTTCCTCTGGTTTCATGGGGCGGATCACGTAAGCATATCAACTTTGATGTCTTGTTTGCCAAGGAGAGAAGAGCTTACAATAAGGTATGGTTTCTAACTATGTTTAATAGTTGGGTTATTTTATAGGTTCGCTGATTTGCTTGACAATTAGGCTGAGTTATATATATGTTTTGATGGGTCATTGTTGTTTAAAATGGCTACTTGATATTAATTGTTTAGGTGCGTGTGAGGCATTTGATTGTAAAGCCAGAAGAAGAGATATATCCTAAGTGGATTGAGGACAAGGACGAGAACTATTTAGATGAAGATTTGGACAATTTGATCAAGGATATTATTCATGATCGGTTTGATGCAACTGCTTGGGATGTCACTGTAGCGAAAGATCGAAATACAAGTTTCAGAAAAAGGAAAGTAGATGTCATGAAGAATGATGATGATAATGTACCTGAGACGTATACACATCAAAAGAAGAAACCCTCATGTGAAGTTGAAGAAACTTCAAAGGTGAATAAAAGATCAAATTATCTTTTTTAACATTGAATCTTTGTGTTAAATATATATAAGTAAGACTTGTTTTTCTCACACCCTTTGGAAATTTAATGTGTGTAGGCTACTGAGAAGGACAGTGGCAACAAGGAGAGTCTGACGCCAAATGATGATCAAAGTTCAGTCTCTGAACTTGTGAATTTAGTGCAGATACTAATTCAAAAAGTGGAGTCTATGGAAACCAACATTGTGACTAAAGTGGATGCTGCAATTGATGCTAAAGTTGGTAACAAAATTGCTACACTCGAAAAGGATGTTAGAAAACTACAAGAACATCTTGAACGTGGTGCCACCAAGGAAGATGCAACATCTAATGATCATGTAGATGAGGACGTGACAAGTAAATCTCCGGTACGTTAGTTAGAAATTTTGAAAATATGTAGTCTGATATGGTGTTTTGTGAATGGCCCTTTGACTGTGGCGACATGTAGTTAGTGAAACTTTTGTTCTAGTCTTTTAGTAGTTACTGAAACTATTGTTGTAGCCTTTGAATGTGGTCACATGTAACGATTTGTAAGATGTTAATTAATTAAGCTCGTAGCTACTTTTTGGATTTGGTTATCTGGTTAAAAATTTGTTTATGAATTTTATAAATGCTTTTGGTGTTTCATTATTTATTCAATGATTTCCATGTTTTCTTTTCATCAGTCGTGGATAGTAATAAAAGCTACATCCCAAGACGATCTCCCGAGTAGCCGCGTTGTGAAGAATGTGAACAAAGCTACGGATCAAGTAAAGAAGAATGGTGAAAAACAACAGCTTAAGAAGATTGCTGTTAAGAAGAATGGTGATAAGAAACAAGATGCGAAGATTGCTGTTAAGAAGAAGAATGGTGTTGAGCAACCACATAAGAAGATTGGAGATAAGGGTGCGATGGCTCAATCAATTTCAACAGAATCAGACTCTGAGATCTGGGAGAAAAAACAGAAACTTGATAATCTGTTTAGAGCACTAGGACAAGGCCTCAGACGTTTGAATGGTAATGCAGCTGGTCGTAAAAAAAAAGTTGACTGCAGCATTGCAGCCCCCATTCACGGGGAGCTCAAATATCAAGCGTATCGTCAAAAATGTGACCCCTTCAGCTACAAGCTACGATCCGTTTGCCAAAGTGGAAGAGAGTAAAGTGCGTAAACTGATGGATTTTATTGACGTTAAAGAGTATGTGATCTTTTCCTTCTTCTTCTATTACATTATTATTCTACATACAAACAGTATTATTAATGATCTTGCAAATGTTTTTAGGGGCCAACCTCTATGGGTCAGCAATTCAAGTTTTGAATTTTACAATGTTATTATTACTCCGAGAAAAGATTGGCCTGAACTAACCTATGGCTGGTTGGGTGGTTCGGTTAGTAATACTCTTCTCTTGTTTTAAGACATTGGATTTGCTGTCTTCATATGAGTCTTGATTTTCACTCTCTCTTTTTTTCCAGCAAATGAATTCAGCGATGCATATGTTCCATATAAGGTCGCTTTCTGACCCATGTCCTTATCGTTCTACAAGGATTGCATTTCTGGACCATTGGTTTGTTAGCGCTTGGGTTCTTGATTACAATGACTACGATCCCAAGAGCTGGACTTTTCCCAGCAAATATTTGGAAATGTTCAATGGTGAATATCTTTTTGGAGCAGTGACAAACAAGAAGTGGTTTATTGATGTCGATCACTTGTATGTCTGCCATTTCGTAAAAGGAGATCATTGGGTAGCATTGGACATCAACTTGCCGAGTGGGAAGATTTACGTCTACGACAGCATATACAGTCATTGTGATGATAAGACTATTACCGATTCATGTCGACCATTCGCTGTAATGATTCCTGCGTTACTTAATTCCATGGTTCCTCCTAATATTAGGAAGAAGAGCGTGAGGCAGTTTAGTGTGTGCAGGAAGAAAGGCATCCCACAGAATGATAACCCTGGTGATTGTGGTGTTTATACATTGAAGTACATCGAGTGTCTTGCTCTTGGGTGTACATTTGAGGGTCTAAATGATAAAAAAATTCCGCAAATCCGTTTGAAACTAGCAGCTGAGATATTTGACGAGGTGGCAGATTTTCGGTGATGATCGTGGTACTGACATGGTGTTTTGTAATTCATCGTATTGACATGGTGTTTTGTTTCTCTTCTCATATGTAGCGTACACATGTTTTGTAGTGACTATTAAAGAGTTTTTTTATCCAAGTAGTCAGATTATGTATCCAAATCGTTTGAAAGAACCAAAACATGTTCTGAATCTCTGCAACAGAGTAACCAAACAGTGTCCGTGATGGTGTTTTTGGAGAAGGATATCGGCAACTGATACACAGAGTTTTAACCCTATAGAACTACTGCAAGTGCACAGAAAATGTTGTAGTCAAGTAGGGATCGAATCCACAAGGACCAAGTGTCACACTGCAAATCTTAATGAATGAATTGGGTGAGAAATTATCGAAACAAGTATTTATAGGTCTAGAACGAATTGGGTGAGAAATTATCGAAAACCAAGTTGGAATAGGAAAAACCCGAAGTTTCCTTATTTTTGCGCGACCAAACCGGCTGGTTAAGACCCCGGAACGATCGATCCGGACTTGGATCGATCGATCTAAATCCTCTCGGGAAATCCATAGCCTCTCGGATCGATCAATCCCTCCTGGATCGATCGATCTAAAATGTCTCGGATAATTTTTGAACTTCGGATCGATCGATCCAAATCTAGATCGATCGATCTAATTTCTCTCGGGAAGTTCTTCGGCCTTCTGCGCGCGCCAGACTAGACTGCTTTCATTAAAACTGGCATACCTTTTGATCGCACCGTTGGATTGACTTCAAACCACTTCCAAATGCAAGCTAACTCAAAGATACAGCTTTTGTCCAAATTTCAGCTCGATCCATCGGTGGGAAGTACTTCAAAGGATGCCAAACTTCGGACGTTCCTGTATAGTTCTGCATCCATATATATGTTCGTTTGCACCCAAAACGGCTCTTTTTCTCCCAAAGCGACCTAAAACCTGAAAAGACTCGATAAAAAGACTAAAAGACTCTACAAGCACACTTTGACTCCAAAAACCATTGAAAACCTTAGATTAGAAAGCCTCCAAAACCCAATATATCAGCAACATGAGAAGGATTCAGACTACAACTAATATGTTTCTATACAGATCTCGCTTCATAGAATTGTAGGGATTTAACGGTTCATCAATAGAAGTTGTAAATCATCCACAAATCGGATCAAAAGTTGGCTGAAAATCATAATTTTTACGGATTTCTATTAAAAACAGTTTTACTGCAGGTTTTTCAGAAATCGTTTAAGGGACTAAAACATGTCCGATGAAGCTAATATTTGGTAGACTGTATAACAGTATATTATTCTTTATATTCAACGGTGGCATTGCAGATTTAACGGTTAGTTTGTGATTTACAGTTGTTTTTATGAGCATGTTTGGCAATGTGTAAAACAAAGGTCATTCTGGTTTTCTTTAGCTCACAATGATATAATTTTAACTCTTGATTACTAAATCAATATCTCACATCTCATCCTTTACCCAAGTATCCAGATTATGCAAATAAGTTGTTTGAAAGAACCAAAACATGTTCTGAATCTCTGCAACAGAGTAACCAAACAGTGTCTGTGATGGTATTTTTAGAGAAGGATATCGGCAACATGAGAAGGATTCAGACTACCAATAATATGTTTCTATACAGATCTCGCTTCATAGAATTGTAGGGATTTAACGGTGCATCAATAGGATTTGTAAATCATCCACAAATCAGATCGAAAGTTGGCTGAAAATCATAATTTTTACGGATTTCTAATAAAAACAGTTTTACTGCAGGTTTTTCAGAAATCGTTTAAGGGACTAAAACATGTCCGATGTAGCTAATATTTGGTAGACTGTATAACAGTATATTTTTCTTTATATTCAACGGTGGGATTGCAGATTTAACGGTTAGTTTGTGATTTAAAAGCCAAACAAGACGAGTCCACAATTACTCAAAATAAGTACCACAACACACGTCCACCAGCAAGACAAATCATCAATTGTACCAACACAAGTCTACCCCAAAACAAGTCCCATTAAGCTACAATGGGCATGTCTTACAATTATGACCTACTTGATTACATATCGAACAAGCATGTTGTTTTCTTGGCTTCTTTTTATCTCCGGCCTTCTCCAATACTGATTTAATCCTAGAGTTTTTTGGTCTTCCTGGTTGTTGGCGAACCACTGGAGGCAGGCACACTTTTTCAGCGACATGATCTGGTACAGGAAAAGCATTATCCCTTGGCATCACAGCAGTAGAGTAGGCATTATACAAATAATTCTTGCAATAGTAAGGATGGTATAAAGATATGCGAGATTTTTTTCTTGCTTCTGCTGCTGCAATTGCATGCACACATGGTAATTTTTCCAAATCAAATCTACGGCATGAGCATTTTTTCTCGGTTAAGTGAACGACATGCAAAGATGATCCGTCAGTAACTTGCGATTGATTTGCATCTATAGCTTGCACTGGAAGCTTCTTAGCATATGGTACACGAATCTGGTAAAACAATATAGTAGTTAGGTCTTGTTAAACAATATTGCAAAGCCATAAATAGTTACACAACGTTTACCTCCAACAGCTTCTCGACTCCACGGGTCAAATCGTTTTCATTAATCCAGCCTCATTCTTTCGCTCAGAAAACCACCGCGTCATCATTAATCGTATTGCATCTAATAGATGAACAATTGGCAAACTCCTTGCGTCCGAGAGCACCCTATTTATCGATTCTGCAATATTGGTTGTAGTGATATTATACCTATCTCCCGGAAAATAAACACGTGTCCACAGTTGCACGTTAGCACTTTGCAAATAGTTATACAATGCTGGATTCAAGACTTCGATCTGATCAAATATGGACTCAAAATCTGCAATTCTAAAAGAGTTTGCCGCCTTTTTGACCAAACTAAAGGTGTCACGGCCTTTAAATCGCACCAGGATGTTCTTATATAGGTGGTACGTACAGATTCCATGACTAGCCATCGGATATACATTTGCAATGGCCTTCCCAATTGATTTCTGCCTATCAAAAATTATAGCTAGTCCTTCATCGTCCGGGATCACACAATGAAGTTGCCTGAAGAACCAATCCCATGATTCATCATTTTCAGTATCAACTATTGCAAAAGCAATTGGAAATATTTGAAAATTTCCATCTTGCGAAGTGGCAATAAGAAGTGTTCCTTTATATTTTCTCTGCAAAAATGTGCCATCAACGACCACCACCTTTCTCATGAAGGGAAATCCATTAATGCTAGCACCAAACGCAAGAAAAAGATACTTGAATATTTGATTGTCATCAACTTCTAGGCGTGTAAATGTACCAGGATTTTCTCTTCTTATCATGTGTAAGTAAACAGGTAATTCAGCATACCCTTCCTCCGAAGTTCCTCTAACCAAATCTCGTGCTTGTTTAAGTGTCCTGTGAGCCTTCTAATAATCCATCTAGTTATAGGAAAAAAATCTGTAAAACTGTTCTTATATCGAATATAATCCTAAATTTAGTGCAATAGCTGAATTTTAAACATACCTTAATACCAAATCGCATGTTTAATGCCTGAGAAACATGGATTGGCAAAACTTTAGCTCCAACACCACCAACGAAATCTTTGTACAATAGTCCTAATATCTCCGGAGTTGCTTGTCGAGAACGCGAAGAACGCTCCGTAATAGAACATGTATGTTCTGCAACATACACACGGACGTAAAATTGGAGAGAATTTCCGACCGGTGAAGCTCGTACTCTCCAAGTACATCCATTCACCCAACACTTAACTACTAGTAAACACGGTGTTGATTTAACAACATTGAAATCAAACTGATGTAAGATTGACAAAATCTTCAATCTTGTCTCCAAAGCGTCTTTTGTCTCATAACGTTGTCCAACAACTAGATTAAGTGAATTCAATTCTAGTTTCACATGTGCATCGCTTCCCTTTGTTTCCTTGGTTGTACTCGTGAACCCTCTTTTTTTAACTGTTTTCGTGCTCTTCTCGTTCTCTTCCTCCGGAGGCTTTCCATACAAGCTAAAGTCTTCGTCGTCAGATGTAGCTCCATCCGAATCATCGCAACAATCAAATCTGCGTTCCTCGTCGTCGTCTTGATTTCCCTCAGACATTGACACTTTCTCCTCATTGGCTACATCTTCTTCTTCATGCTTATATCGATCACACTTCTGTTTTTCTTTCTCTTTAACTTGCACACAAAGTCGTCGTGAAGCAGCTTTGTATTGTTCAAAAAAACCCTTAAACTGTCGTGAATTTCCAACAACCACCGGAGCTGTATTCTACGGCAACTTCATCAAAACCCTTTTCGGAAACATGTAACTCAAATCAACTTCATATAATCTCTCATCCAATCCATACTCCTCATAAACTGTTTGAATGAATTCTTCATAAGATGTAGAACGATTTATTGTTACAGTTTTGGAGTCTTTATTACCATCAACAACAAATAACCATCTGTTTTCTTCAAGCATCCATTTACCACATACCAAGATTATTTGCGCCATGTGGGGTTTGTTTTGAGGAGGAAGAAGATTAAGATGTTTGATTGTTTTGAAGAGAGAAGAAGATTAAGATGTTTGATTATTTTGAAGAGAGAAGAAGATGGTTAGCGTCGTTTTTTGAAGACAGAAGAAGAAGCCGTCGTTTTTTACTTTAAGTTTTTACATATTAGGTCAAATTAGGTATTTATTATTTTAAGTCTGTCATAATAGATTTATAAAAGTCTGTCATAGTAAATCTGTTGTTCGATATCAAAATCTGTCGTTCAAAAAAAGTTTATCATCAATAACATTGATGACGAAAATAAGTTTATCAATCAAAACTGTCATCCAAAAATAAATCTGTTAAAAATAATTAAATCTGTTGTGTCAGTGAAAAAAATATGCTCTGTAAATCTGTCTCAGAAAATAAATCTGTTAAAAATAATTAAATCTGTTGTGTCATTATTAAAAATCTGCTATATAAATATGTCTCAGAAAATAAGTCTAACAGAAAATAAATCTGTTGTTTCATATGACAGAGTTTTATAAATAAACCTGTCCTAGATAAAAATCTGTGAAAATAGTCTATCAAAAAATTAAATCTGTGTAAAAATAAAAACATGTCATCAAATAAATGGCAGATTATCTCGATAGACTTATTTATTTATAAATCTGTCATCTTATTTTCGAAATTATTATAATGGTATTTTCGTAATAGTTTTTTTAGGTAAATATCATTAAAGGGTAAAATAGACAGAAAATATGTTCTATTTGTTAAAAAAGTGTATAGATTACTCTAGTAATAAAATGTTAAATTTGAGTTATTTTAGTAAACTTCCCAAAAAAAAACAAAGAAGAAAGATATGGTACTTAAAACACGTCGAACAAACAAAATTTTGGTTATGATACAATGTATCAATGTCCTTGCATTAATATTTAATGGTGACAATTACCTAAGGAGGAATAAATTAAACCATAACTATTTTCCCATTGTTATACTACCGTTGTCTTTTGGTTTTATTTTCTTATGTTACTTCCATTTTAAATATCGTAATACTTCCATGAATTCCAATATTTTGTAAGTTCTAATATTTCGTCAGCTTTCTTATGGTTACGATATTTTCTAATTTATTATGTTTAATTTAGTATTATTTTATCTAATCAAAAATTTATTATCACCTATAATTTTAAATTCAAAATATTTTTAACAATACACTAGATGTTGCGCAGGTATATGATTCTTGAAGTAAATTTATAAATGTTTAGATTTTATAGTATAAGGAGATTTATATATTATGTTATAAGATAGTCTGTTTTCTTGTACATAGGTATCATGGCTCTATTTTGAGAGAATGAATAATCTATTTTTTATATGTGTATAGAAACGCTAATTGTTTTTGCTAACAGAAAAGATAATTGTCTTGCTGATGGATTAGCTAACTCTGCTTTTTTCCTTCCTCTAGGTGTCCAGTTTTTAGATTTGGTCCACCGAGTTTAGTTTCGATTTTCAGTTACAGTATTATCGGTTCTGCGCGCCCAAGAAGAGTTTGTGTGTAACTGGTTTTTTTGTTTTGAATAAAATCAGGAGACAATGTCTCCCCCACCCCCTTCCTACCAAAAAAAACTATAGTTATATTAATAATAAATTATTTATGTATGTGTTATGAGGATTAAAATTAAATTTTGTAAATACAAAATATAAAATTAAAAATAAGATAATATAAGTTACGTGCAACTAATTCAATATTGTAGACACACGAGTTGTTATTGTAAAATATGATAATATGTTATTGGTTTTATATGAAATTTATGTTATTTAATATTGTATTTGGTTTTTTTTTCTTCTCCTTCTCCCTTTCTATTCTTTCTTCTTCATTTCTATTATCTGTTTCTTTTTTTTTTGTTTTTCTCCTTCTTCTCTTTTTGGATTACCATGAAGGTCTGGGCCGAAGTCTGCAATCTCTGCAGACCCGAAACCATATCATGTAATATTAGTTTAATCATAAGCGTCACTCGATCATGTGATCTCTAAGCTTTACCTAGATCATTTACCAGTCGAGTTAACGACTCTTGGTTACTCCTTCGTCTTCTCCTCCATCCCTTCTTCTTCTTCTTTTTCATTCTTTCTTCTCATTCTTCTCCTTCTCCTCTGTTGTTCTTCCTCTCCCTGCTTCTTCTTCTTCTTCTTCTTCTTCTATGTATCCATATTCTTCTTCATCCCTTCTTCTCCTTATTATCCTTCGTCTTCTTCTTCTCTTCCTCCTTCGTGCCTTCTTCTTCTTCATCCATTCTCTTTCTTTTCCGTTTTTTTTATCTTCTCTATAAGTCTTATTCGTCATCACTTCTCCTTCTTCTCATTCACTTTTCTTCTTTTCCATCCCTTCTTAATATCCTTTCTTTTCCTTCTTCTACTTTATCACTTATTCCCCTTCTTCTCATGTTCTTTTTTTTTCTCTTTCTTTTTCTCTGTTGTTATTCTTTTTCTCACCCATCCCTTCTCATTATTCTCCTCCTTCTTCTTCTCCTTCTTATTTGTTCTTCTTCTTCTTTGTCAAACAAAAAATGATAAATTTAAAACTAAAAAGATTAAAAATAACAACCATATACATAGTAAACAAACTGAAACAAAATATTTAACATATAAGAAATTAATTTCGTCTAAAAAATATTGATGTTTGCTAAGATTTTTTTTTTTTTGAAAATCTAAATAGGGAAAACAATTAGCCAAACAAATTAGAGAAAATGAGATAATGTGAGTTACCGCTTTTAATTCCATTATAGTTTATTGAAATACTATTATCACAAATAAAATTATATGGTTTTATCATTTACTGTTAATTAATCATGGTTTTTTAAATTTGATCATGATGCTTTTAAATTTGAAATTAATTTAATAAAAATTTAATTTAATAATAGATTGAACTAAACATATAACCAATAATATATAATTATTCATGAAAATTAGGTTATAGTTTATTTTCCTATAAATATGTGTTTGGTTATATTATTGCATAATAATAAGAATATGACTTTTGTTTTCAAATAATGTTTTGCGATTTTTCTTTTATATTGTGTAAATGTATATAATTTAATTATATTAATTATAATTTTTATTTTATTATATTGTTACATAGTAATAAATATTTGAAAAATATTATTTGTTATTTTTTGCAAAATGTTTTAAATTGTGTAAATGTTTATAATTTAATCTTTTACATATATGGTAATTATAATTATAATTTCATTTATATAAACTTGGATGTAATTAATTCTAAGATTATTTAGAATTTTCGAAATGACTATTTATGGAAATATTTAAATTATTTAAATGTGTTTGGTAATTAAAGTTAAACTAATCCAAATAGTATTTGAAAATTAATGTGTATGGTAATAGTAATATAAGAATTAAATAAAAAAAAAGTAAAATTAATATTAATTGGTTGTATTAACAAATGACTAAACTACCATTAATAAAATTCTAAGGAAAATGTTAAAATGCAATGGCATTTCATATAATATAACACATGAAATGTGTTTAAACATTGAAGTGTTCCTCTTTTAATAGTATGGATACTACAACTTAAACAACAGAAATTACCACCTTTTTAAAACGCTAACTCATATTTTAAAATTTGTACAGAAAACTTACTATAATATATAGTTTGTATCACATAATTTTTCTTACCAGTCAGAAATATATATGTATATTTTTGTTTTCAAAAAGTAGTAAAATATATATATGGGGCATGCAATTTTCTCATATATATATATATTACTCATTTTCCTTTCAGATTTTTTTATATGTAATAGAAGTTCTTGAAAATTTGTAGCTTTGCTTTGCATAGAAATTACGCCTGCCTCGTATTTCATTCAGATCTCACTCATCTGACTCTTTCAAACCTTTTTTTCTTGTTTATTAGTCAACAGTAATATTTTTTTCTCTTTTGTTTTTTTGCGAAAGGGTAATTTTTTTCTTTCTCAAGACGACTTCTTCTTTAAAAACCACCATTTCAAAGTCTTTCATAGATTCCAATACTCTTTCAAACCAACACCTTCCTCTTCGTCCGAGCCACTGTCGATGACTCATCCCATGTCAAAGCCATCGCGTCCATTGTTAGATACTTTCGATGGAGAAGCGTCGTCGCCATCCATGCAGACAACGAGCTAGGCGAAGGAAACATGCCTTACTTGTTTGACGCTTTACAAGGCGTGGAAGTGAATAAAAGTGTGATCAATCCGAAAGCTTATGATGATCATATTCGAATTTTAAATTCAAAATATTCTATCACTTTGTATTTAATCAAAATTTTATTATTACCTATAATTTTAAATTAATTTTTTTTTAACAATACGTACTACAACTTAAACACCAGAAATTACCACTTTTAAAAATAAAATAAAAAACGCTATTTTAATTTTTTTACAGCAAACTTACTATAATCTATAGTTTGTATCACATAATGTTTGCTGCAACATATAACATCTTACCGGTCAAAAGTATATATGTATTTATTTTATTTTTTTCAAAAAGTAGTGATATATATATATATATAGGAAAATTTTCTTATAATATACTACTTATTTTTCTTTAAGATTTTTTGATATATAAAAGAAGTTCTCAAAAAATTGTAGCTTTGCTTTGCATAGAAATTACGTCGGCCTCGTATATCATTCAAATCTCACTCATCTGACTCTTTCAAACTCTTTTTTCTTGTTCATTAGTCAACAGTAATATTTTTTTCCTCTTTTGTTTATTTTTGCGAAAGGGTAAATTTTTTCTTTCTTTAGACGACTTTTTCTTTGAGAACCATTTCAAAGTCTTTCATAGATTCCAATACTCTTTCAAACCAACACCTTTCTCTTTATATATAACAGAAAAAGGAAGCGAAAGAATCACATAAAGTGTTTGTGTCCTCAAACCTTGGAAAGTGATGATGAACAGTACTACAAAACTCATGACACCTTTCTGAGTTACTTTGTTATGTTCCTTTGGGGGTTTGTGTTAATGGAAGTTCGTTTAGCACAAAGCGCAACAAGTGAAATCAAAGTAGGAGTAGTTCTTGATCTCAAAACAAACTTTTCCAAGATGTGCCTCACTTCTATTAACATGTCGTTGTCCGATTTCTATAAAGATCATCCAAATTACCGCACAAGACTTGCTCTTCACGTCAGGGATTCCATGGAAGAGACTGTTCAAGCTTCAGTTGCAGGTTCATTACTTTTCTGTCTCTTGCTAGTTGCTTCTCCGCTTCACGTAATGTAAGTATGTAGCAGATCATTTTGGATCTATTAATTATTAATTCTACTGTACGTAGGAAGGTAGGGTTACGGCCAGACATGATCTGAAAAATCTTTTACATCACCGTTGATAAATCCAAGTGACTTCTTACGTGGTTTATATCCTACGATCTTGGTGACAAAAAAATCTTAGCCTGTTAGATTATTACTAATATCACTTTGTACACCCGACCAAATCGGGTTTTAACATATTTTCTTGAAAATTAATGAATTATATATTTGTGTTTTAAAGTTTTTTTTTGTGTGAATTTATATATTATATATAATTTTTAGTTAACGTAGTTGCCTATAATTTAATGAATCTATAGTACTTAAAGTTCTTCTTCAGTTATTAAGTTTATGGTAAAAATATATTTAATAGATAATGTTAGAGGGGAAATGAGCACATTTCCTAAAAGGTCTTCCTTCACAATAACCTAAGCTCATCACAACCAGGAAGACCGTGCCGACCTAGCTCGGATTTATAGAAAATTCTTAAAAGATAATTATGAAAGACCAGAAATATCGGATTAACTCAAAGGATAAATGAGAATTTCCTTACTTATCGGAGAATAAATGATATTTCCATATCACAGATATAGAAATATACGCAAAGGCAAAAAGGAAAAAGAGTTCGGAGCAACCGACCTCCCATCCCTATAAATAAAGAGGACATGGAAGCCAAGAAGAACAACTCATACAATCTAGAGAGCAGCAGAACAAAAACCCAAGACTCCAACGCTTTCTAGTTTATTTTGCAAACCTTCTTTTCACTTTGGCATAACTTCTCGGTTATACTCTTCTTTGTAATTGCTAACGCTTTCTTGCTATTAATAAAGATCTTATTCTCCTAAACCAACAACTGTTAATCAAACCCTAGTGGTCATTTTCTGGTTCAACCGATAATATTTAATAACTGTATGTTTACATTATAACTAGCTGGTTGCATGTACGGGAATATTTTTTCGATTGATATAGTTAGTTGAAATATGTAAATATTGATTAGTTTTTTATACATTCTGCAAACATTATGTTTGTATATAAATACAATTTTATTCTTTAACAACAATCATACAAATATTTTATGTCATGTTTTACCTTTTGAAATCGATTTATTATTTTTAAAAAATATTTTTCTAACATCTACAGTAATATATAATTACAAATATAAAAATAATATTAAATAATAATTAATTTCTTACAATAATTTTTAAATAATTTATACTATGCTTTATAATCCCCTTACACAATATAATACTGCCAATACAAATATATTTTAAGTATATATATATATATTTTTTTTTTCTTTTTACCTATTGCAAATTAAACCAAAATGGGTTTTACAATCTTTATTTATCTTAAAACGGGTAGATGGTTGGCCTTTGCATGCGTGCATACCAACCGCCTCGCCGGTCGTAGAACAAATATGTATATTTTTTAAAAAAATATAAAAGGTCTAAAAATTATAATTAAAATTAAAATAACAAATACATGCACGATAATTTCGCATGCGATTTTAACTTTTGCGCAATTAATTTTCATATTCACATGCATATTTGTGGAAAAATTGAAATATGTTTTTATGTGTTAAAAGAAAATAAAAAATCTATGTTTTGTAATATATATTTCTATAATGTATGGCTAAATTTTAAAAAGAAATAAATACATATATTTGTGCATGCATGCCTTAATAATTTTTGTTTCTTTTCTGTATGAAATTATATGTATATATATCTGTATATATTTTTGTATAAATTTTGTAATTATATTTTATGCAATCTATTAATAATATATGTAAAAAATTTAAAATTATATTAATTATCATTTTCTGTTAATTTAAATTTGTTAATTTTAGTGTTACAATCTAATGTATTTACTAAGTGATCGGTCTGTACCGTGTGCACGCTATAAAAAAATTTATATGTTCAATATATAATTAATATTTTATATTAAAGATATTATATTTATACATTATTAATTATGTATTAATAATAATATTATGTAAATATTTAATAATAAAAATAATGATAAATCAAATGAAAAATATTATGGATTTAAATAGAAATTGAAGATAAAAAGTATTAATCAAGATTTTAAAATACTTTCTTAAATAAAAAGTGTAAATATAGTAACCAAATAAACTGAAAAATATTAAAATATATAATAATTTATTTAATTTTTATTGTTGGCCCGTAAGCATGTACACGTATGATTTTTTTATATACATAATTAGTTGTAATATTTAAGTATTCATTAAAAAATTTTATATATTATGTAAATGTTATGTTTTTATATATATACAGTTTTAGTATTTAACAACAATCACATAAATGTTTTTTATATCGTTTTGTGTCATTTAAAAGCTTTTTTATTTATGCATCTGTAAATTTGGTATTTTTTTAGGTATTGATATGTTTGACAAAAAAAAAAAAGACATGCATGTAACAAACTCTAAAACGTTGTTTAATCTAAAGTGGAGGGAATATGTCAACTCTAAAAGAAGCTTTACATTTCCAATAGTAAAATAAATAGAAAAGCGTTACATTTAATGACGGATTTAACCAATTTTCTTTTCGTTCTGTTTGCTTGTGATGCAAGCAGCTTTGGACCTAATCAAGAACGAGCAAGTTAGCGCCATCATCGGTCCCATAAACTCTATGCAAGCCGAATTTATGATCAGACTGGCCAACAAATCCCAAGTACCGACCATCACATTCTCTGCAACAAGCCCTCTTCTGACATCCACTTCGTCCGAGCCACTGTCAACGACTCATCCCATGTCAATGCCATTGCGGCCATTGTTAAATACATTCGATGGAGAAGCGTCGTTGCCATTCATGCAGACAACGAGCTAGGCGAAGGAAACATGCCTTACTTGTTTGACGCTTTACAAGGCGTGGAAGTGAATAAAAGTGTGATCAATCCGAAAGCTTATGATGATCATATTCGAATTTTAAATTCAAAATATTCTATCACTTTGTATTTAATCAAAATTTTATTATTACCTATAATTTTAAATTAATTTTTTTTTTAACAATACGTACTACAACTTAAACACCAGAAATTACCACTTTTAAAAATAAAATAAAAAACGCTATTTTAATTTTTTTACAGCAAACTTACTATAATCTATAGTTTGTATCACATAATGTTTGCTGCAACATATAACATCTTACCGGTCAAAAGTATATATGTATTTATTTTATTTTTTTCAAAAAGTAGTGATATATATATATATATAGGAAAATTTTCTTATAATATACTACTTATTTTTCTTTAAGATTTTTTGATATATAAAAGAAGTTCTCAAAAAATTGTAGCTTTGCTTTGCATAGAAATTACGTCGGCCTCGTATATCATTCAAATCTCACTCATCTGACTCTTTCAAACTCTTTTTTCTTGTTCATTAGTCAACAGTAATATTTTTTTCCTCTTTTGTTTATTTTTGCGAAAGGGTAAATTTTTTCTTTCTTTAGACGACTTTTTCTTTGAGAACCATTTCAAAGTCTTTCATAGATTCCAATACTCTTTCAAACCAACACCTTTCTCTTTATATATAACAGAAAAAGGAAGCGAAAGAATCACATAAAGTGTTTGTGTCCTCAAACCTTGGAAAGTGATGATGAACAGTACTACAAAACTCATGACACCTTTCTGAGTTACTTTGTTATGTTCCTTTGGGGGTTTGTGTTAATGGAAGTTCGTTTAGCACAAAGCGCAACAAGTGAAATCAAAGTAGGAGTAGTTCTTGATCTCAAAACAAACTTTTCCAAGATGTGCCTCACTTCTATTAACATGTCGTTGTCCGATTTCTATAAAGATCATCCAAATTACCGCACAAGACTTGCTCTTCACGTCAGGGATTCCATGGAAGAGACTGTTCAAGCTTCAGTTGCAGGTTCATTACTTTTCTGTCTCTTGCTAGTTGCTTCTCCGCTTCACGTAATGTAAGTATGTAGCAGATCATTTTGGATCTATTAATTATTAATTCTACTGTACGTAGGAAGGTAGGGTTACGGCCAGACATGATCTGAAAAATCTTTTACATCACCGTTGATAAATCCAAGTGACTTCTTACGTGGTTTATATCCTACGATCTTGGTGACAAAAAAATCTTAGCCTGTTAGATTATTACTAATATCACTTTGTACACCCGACCAAATCGGGTTTTAACATATTTTCTTGAAAATTAATGAATTATATATTTGTGTTTTAAAGTTTTTTTTTGTGTGAATTTATATATTATATATAATTTTTAGTTAACGTAGTTGCCTATAATTTAATGAATCTATAGTACTTAAAGTTCTTCTTCAGTTATTAAGTTTATGGTAAAAATATATTTAATAGATAATGTTAGAGGGGAAATGAGCACATTTTCTAAAAGGTCTTCCTTCACAATAACCTAAGCTCATCACAACCAGGAAGACCGTGCCGACCTAGCTCGGATTTATGGAAAATTCTTAAAAGATAATTACGAAAGACCAGAAATATCGGATTAACTCAAAGGATAAATGAGAATTTCCTTACTTCTCGGAGAATAAATGATATTTTCATATCACAGATATAGAAATATACGCAAGGGCAAAAAGGAAAAGGAGTTCGGAGCAACCGACCTCCCATCCCTATAAATAAAGAGGACCTGGAAGCCAAGAAGAACAACTCATACAATCTAGAGAGCAGCAGAACAAAAACCCAAGACTCCAACGCTTTCTAGTTTACTTCGCAAACCTTCTTTTCACTTTGGCATAACTTCTCGGTTATACCCTTCTTTGTAATTGCTAACGCTTTCTTGCTATTAATAAAGATCTTATTCTCCTAAACCAACAACTGTTAATCAAACCCTAGTGGTCATTTTCTGGTTCAACCGATAATATTTAATAACTGTATGTTTACATTATAACTAGCTGGTTGCATGTACGGGAATATTTTTTCGATTGATATAGTTAGTTGAAATATGTAAATATTGATTAGTTTTTTATACATTCTGCAAACGTTATGTTTGTATATAAATACAATTTTATTCTTTAACAACAATCATACAAATATTTTATGTCATGTTTTACCTTTTGAAATCGATTTATTATTTTAAAAAAAATATATTTCTAACATCTACAGTAATATATAATTACAAATATAAAAATAATATTAAATAATAATTAATTTCTTACAATAATTTTTAAATAATTTATACTATGCTTTATAATCCCCTTACACAATATAATACTGCCAATACAAATATATTTTAAGTATATATATATATATATATATTTTTTTTACCTATTGCAAATTAAACCAAAATGGGTTTTACAATCTTTATTTATCTTAAAACGGGTAGATGGTTGGCCTTTGCATGCGTGCGTACCAACCGCCTCGCCGGTTTTAGAACAAATATGTATATTTTTTAAAAAAATATAAAAGGTCTAAAAATTATAATTAAAATTAAAATAACAAATACATGCACGATAATTTCGCATGCGATTTTAACTTTTGCGCAATTAATTTTCATATTCACATGCATATTTGTGGAAAATTTGAAATATGTTTTTATGTGTTAAAAGAAAATAAAAAATCTATGTTTTGTAATATATATTTCTATAATGTATGGCTAAATTTTAAAAAGAAATAAATACATATATTTGTGCATGCATGCCTTAATAATTTTTGTTTCTTTTCTGTATGAAATTATATGTATATATATCTGTATATATTTTTGTATAAATTTTGTAATTATATTTTATGCAATCTATTAATAATATATGTAAAAAATTTAAAATTATATTAATTATCATTTTTTGTTAATTTAAATTTGTTAATTTTAGTGTTACAATCTAATGTATTTACTAGGTGATCGGTCTGTACCGTGTGCATGCTATAAAAAAATTTATATGTTCAATATATAATTAATATTTTATATTAAAGATATTATATTTATACATTATTAATTATGTATTAATAATAATATTATGTAAATATTTAATTATAAAAATAATGATAAATCAAATGAAAAATATTATGGATTTAAATAGAAATTGAAGATAAAAAATATTAATCAAGATTTTAAAATACTTTCTTAAATAAAAAGTGTAAATATAGTAACCAAATAAACTGAAAAATATTAAAATATATAATAATTTATTTAATTTTTATTGTTGGCCCGTAAGCATGTACACGTATGATTTTTTTATATACATAATTAGTTATAATATTTAAGTATTCATTAAAATTTTTTATATATTATGTAAATGTTATGTTTTTATATATATACAGTTTTAGTATTTAACAACAATCACATAAACGTTTTTTATATCGTTTTGTGTCTTTTAAAAGCTTTTTTATTTATGCATCTGTAAATTTGGTATTTTTTTAGGTATTGATATGTTTGACAAAAAAAAAAAGACATGCATGTAACAAACTCTAAAACGTTGTTTAATCTAAAGTGGAGGGAATATGTCAACTCTAAAAGAAGCTTTACATTTCCAATAGTAAAATAAATAGAAAAGCGTTACATTTAATGACGGATTTAACCAATTTTCTTTTCGTTCTGTTTGCTTGTGATGCAAGCAGCTTTGGACCTAATCAAGAACGAGCAAGTTAGCGCCATCATCGGTCCCATAAACTCTATGCAAGCCGAATTTATGATCAGACTGGCCAACAAATCCCAAGTACCGACCATCACATTCTCTGCAACAAGCCCTCTTCTGACATCCACTTCGTCCGAGCCACTGTCAACGACTCATCCCATGTCAATGCCATTGCGGCCATTGTTAAATACATTCGATGGAGAAGCGTCGTTGCCATTCATGCAGACAACGAGCTAGGCGAAGGAATCATGCCTTACTTGTTTGACGCTTTACAAGGCGTGGAAGTGAATAAAAGTGTGATCAATCCGAAAGCTTATGATGATCATATTCGAATAGAACTTCTTAAGCTCATGATGAGGCAGACAAGGGTATTCGTTGTCCACATGGACTCAAGTCTCGGTCTCCGAGTTTTTCAGATAGCTAAAGAGATTGGGATGATGGATGAAGGGTATGTATGGTTACTATCAAATGAAATGACGCCTTTGATGAGACATAGTTTGGAGACTATGCAGGGCGTGTTAGGTGTAAGGAGCCGCGTCCTAATAAAATCTAAAGAGCATGAAGATTTCCGTTTGAGATGGGAGAATCCATTGATGGAGGGCAACGTAGAGCTAAACGTTTTTTCGCTATGGGCATATGATTCGATCACGGCATTAGCAATGGCCGTGGAGAACAGCACAAGGAGCTTGACGTATGTTAACGCTGATACCTCAACAAGTAACAAGACAGATTTGGGGAACCTAGTGATACAAACTTAGGAGCTGAAGCTGACGTTCTACCATGAGACAAGCTCCAAGAACAAGATCAGGAACTAAAGACTTAGCTGATAGCTTCAACCAAGCAGTAGAGACGCTGATCACTTTCCAACACCTAGAAAATGTCACTACTCAACTTAGCCAACTGAGCATCGCCAAAGAAGCAGCAATGGTGAGGGCACGTCTAAGCGAGGAAGGCATTCCCAGCAAGCAAGAAGACCTTTCCAACGAGCAAGAAGACGGTTTAGACATCATCAACGGTCCTCACATCAAAAGCATAGCTTATACACACGGATGGCCAATGATTCATGATAGCAAAGGAGTTTCCTTATTTAGCATTACGCTACTTAAGTGAAAATGCTTCTAAACAACCTAAACTGAGGTAAGTCCGATTTCCTATTTCAATATGGTTTATTCAACTAATAAAACTCTCTCTTTGGTTGTTTTGGTTCAGCTTTTATTTAAAACATTAGTATAAGGCATGTTGGCCACATTTTTATTTACATTTTCGTTTTAAGGCATTGTTAGCCAAGTAGTTTAACCTAAGAGTTTTGTAATCTGTTTCAAATCCCCTAGAAAGGCAAAGCTGTTCGGACTGTTTATAAAGTCCCCTCACAGCCGTGTATTCTTTTCAACATATCAATAAAGAATGAACTTCTTGGCTAAGCACCAATCTCTTGTTCTCTAAAGCTTTGTGTGATTCATTGCTTGAGAGTTCTTTGTCTTATCAAGGTTTATCTCCATAAAGCCTTGTGGCGACTTTCAATCCATCTTCTATTCATCTCACAACTTAGATCTTGCAAATAGAGTGGTACAACTCTTTGTTTGATCCCCATCTCGATCCACTTCATTTTATAGCCCATCCACCGATTGTTAGCCGAAAGAGTTGAACAACCAGCGGCCCAATCCCATCCCCATACACGGTTACTTGCTTGTAGGCGTGTGTCATCTGGTATCAGAGCCGAAAGGCTCCCTAAACAGGTGTACTCTATCCCTTTTGCATCCTTTCTTCTTAGTTTCGCTTTGGTTCTTTAACTTCATTCATCATTCAAAAAAAAATCATAAAAAGTTTTCATTGTTTTACTGTTTTGATTTGATTTTCAATTCTAAAAACCCCAAAAGAAGTTTTTCATTATTGCATAATTTTCGTATTGATTTATACTTTACAAAAAAGTCATAAAAATTATTCAACTATAGAAGTGCATATTCGGTTTTTAAAGAGTTCTTTCCATATTTGTCATATTGCGAATTAGTTCTTACTTGTTTTGGATTAGTCGCATATTGTCATATTACTTTTGTGAGGTTTCCCTTGCTAGTGATTAGGACGGTTCCTAGTATTGAGCATTAGGACTATAGCTCATAAACTGTTGTTATACTTGGCTTATATTAGAACCCATTAAACACTTGATCTTTGAAACTTTGTAGGTACTACGATGGGAGAAGCAGATCAAGCTGATGTTATGAGGCAGATGCTTGAGTCTATTCAAGGCATCAGTGCTAGGATGAATCAACTGGAGCAGCGACTGCCACCACCACCTCCCGCCGGAGCTCCCAATGGCCCTAGAAACCGAGAGAGGACTCCTGTACCACAAGGGGGAAGTGAAACTGACGATGACATGCCGAGTTTGGAGGAAGATAATCCTAACCCGAGGCAAAGGAGGTACCATGATCGTCCTAGAAGAGGGAGAGACCGAGAAGATGATCAAACGTGGCTTTGAGGAAAGGATATCAAGCTTACAGCACCCACATTCACCGGAAGAGTCAACCCCGAGGCATATGTGGATTGGGAGAGAAGAATGGAGTATATCTTCGACTACTACCAGTACCACGACGCCAAGAAGGTCTCCCTAGCAGCTGCACAGCTCACCGAGAATGCTCTTTCCTGGTGGGATAGAGAAGTTTCGGAGAGAAGGAGACATAGACACGATCAGATCACCACTTGGTCGGAGATGCGATACCACTTGAGGAAGAGATATGTTCCTTCCTACTACCACCGTGATCTACAGAAGAAGTTCAGAAAGCTCACACAGGGCACTAGGTCCGTTGAGGAGTACTTTGAGGAGTTTGAGCTACTCAAAAATTGCTTGGAGACCAACGAGACCGAAGAAACCCTCATGGCGCAGTTCATTGATGGGTTACACGATCGGATCGCAAGAAAGGTGGAGAGGACTACTTACCGAGACCTTGATGAGCTCCTACACTTAGCTGTACAAGCCGAGCAGCACGTCAAGAGGAAGTCAGCCTCCACTGCTAGAGCTAAGCCCGCTTGGAGTTCACAGCCGAGAGCCTTTGATAAAGGCAAAGTACCAGAAGCAGCTTCCAAGTACAAGAAGCCGGTTGTAGAGACGTCTAAGGCAGCTACTGGCGAGTCAAGCAAGCCCCAAAACCAGCGAGCTAGAGATGTTACATGCTTCAAGTGCCAAGGAAGAGGCCATTACGCTAGAGAATGTCCAAATCAACAGGTGATGTTACTCAAAGAAGATGGCGAGTATGAATCCCAAGATGAAGCCGAGGCCAAGTTTGATGATTCAGAGGAAGAAGTGACTGATTTTCCTGACGAGGGAGAGCTACTAGTGACCCGGAGAGTTCTCAGCACCATGTTTGATCCAGAAACCATTCAAAGAGAGAACATCTTCCATACACGCTGTACCGTGAACACCAAGGTATGTAGCCTCATCATAGATGGTGGTTCGTGTACTAACGTGGCTAGTAAGTATCTTGTAGATAAGCTAGGCCTCAAGAAGACAAAGCACCCGAGGCCCTACAGACTCAAATGGTTGAATGACGAGACCAAGCTAAAGATAGGAGAGCAAGTGTTAGTACCATTCAGCATTGGTAAGTATGAAGATCAGGTTCTATGTGACGTAGTTCCCATGCAAGCAGGCCACATTCTACTTGGTAGACCATGGCAGTTTGACAAGGAAACGATACACAATGGCCGTACCAACTTTTACAGCTTCTCCCACAACAAGAAGAAGCATAACCTTTCTCCACTTACACCCCAAGAAGTCTTTAATCTCCAAAAGGCTATGGACAAAGGAGCTAAGGTAAGTAAAACTAGCCTTTATGTTACTCCTAGTAATGTTTTAAAGGCTTTAGAATCCAAAACGCAGGTGCTACTCATGATCTTTAGAGAAGGGTTGTTTTCAGGTCAAGAGGAGACTGTTTTACCCGCCGAGATGAATGAGCTTTTAGAGAAGTTCAAAGATGTCTTCCCTGAGGAGATACTAGCCGGTTTACCACCCATCCGAGGCATTGAGCACCAGATAGACCTTATACCCGGAGCACCTTTACCCAACCGGCCAGCTTATAGAGTTAACCCGGAGAAAGCCAAGGAGCTAGAAGCACAAGTTCAGAAGCTTATGTCCAAAGGATACATCCGAGAAAGCTTAAGTCCTTACGCTGTACCGGTCTTGTTAGTGCCAAAGAAAGACGGATCATGGAGGATGTGTGTAGACTGCCGAGCTATAAACAATATCACCATCAAGTATAAGCACCCCATCCCCCGGCTAGATGATATGCTAGATGAGTTGAGTGGAGCTACAATATTTTCAAAGGTTGATCTCAAGAGTGGCTACCACCAAGTCAGAATGAAAGAGGGCGACGAGTGGAAGACAGCATTCAAGACTAAGAGAGGTTTATATGAATGGATGGTCATGCCTTTCGGTCTCACCAATGCACCGAGCACATTCATGAGGCTCATGAACCATGTACTGCGAGCATACATCTGTAAGTCAGTAGTTGTGTATTTTGATGACATTCTGATCTATAGGTCTAGCTTAGATGATCATCTTAAACACATTGAGCAGGTGCTAGAAACGTTAAGGCTAGAAGGCTTATATGCAAACTTAAAGAAATGTACCTTTTGCACTGATCAGTTAGTGTTTTTAGGCTTTGTAGTAAGTTCACAGGGGCTTAAAGTGGATGAGGAGAAGATCAAGGCGATTCAGGAGTGGCCAACCCCCTCCACCATCGGTCATGTCCGGAGCTTCCACGGATTAGCCAGCTTCTATAGGAGATTCGTGAAGGATTTCAGCACCATTGGCGCCCCCTTAACCTCGGAGATCAAGAAGAATGTAGCATTCTCATGGGGAGAGGCACAGGAGCTAGCGTTTCAAAGGCTTAAGGATAGCCTTACACATGCGCCTGTTTTGGCATTACCTAACTTTAACCAAATGTTTGAAGTTGAATGTGATGCTTCAGGGATAGGAATCGGAGCTGTTCTTACTCAAGGAGGGAGACCCATGGCTTTCATCAGTGAAAAACTCAATGGAGCCACCCTTAACTACCCTACCTATGACAAAGAACTATATGCTCTAGTAAGATCTCTTGAAACTTGGCAGCATTACCTTTTATCTAAAGAGTTTTTTATTCATACAGATCATGAGACCCTCAAGTACTTGAGAGGCCAAACTACTTTGAAAAAGAGGCATGCTAGATGGCTTGAGTTCGTAAAGACATTTCCCTATGTAATAAAATACAAGAAGGGAAAGGAGAATGTTGTAGCGGATGCTTTATCAAGGAGACATGCCCTCATCTCAACAATGGAGGCTAAGATCATGGGGTTTGAGCATCTCAAGCAACTCTACGGAGAGGATCCTGACTTCAAAGAGCTTTATAACCAATGTAGCCGAGGAGTGTTTGGTTCTTTTTACAGGCATGATGACTTTCTATTCAAGGACCGCCGGCTATGCTTACCTCAAAGCTCGGTTAGGGAACTCATCATAAGGGAGGCACACGGTGGAGGCCTCATGGGACATTTTGGGATGGACAAAACGCTTAGCATCGTCAAGGAGCATTTCTTTTGGCCTCATTTTAGACGTGACGTCGAGAGGTTCTGCTCCAATTGCATCACTTGCTTGAAAGCAAAATCCAGGTTGCATCCCCATGGCTTATACATTCCTTTACCTATACCTTACCTACCATGGGTAGACATTTCTATGGATTTTGTTTTAGACTTACCCAAGATCAGAAACAAGGATTCAATCTTTGTAGTGGTGGACCGTTTCTCTAAAATGGCGCATTTCATCCCATGTGCCAAGACTAATGATGCTACTCAGATTGCCGATTTGTTCTTTAAAGAGGTGGTGAGGATTCATGGACTTCCAAGAACCATTGTTTCTGACCGAGACACCAAGTTCTTGAGCCATTTCTGGAGAACCGTTTGGAGAAAGCTTGGGACTAAGCTTCTTTTCTCAACAACTTGTTACCCACAAACCGATGGATAGACTGAAGCAGTCAACCGTACACTCTCCACCCTCTTAAGGGATACGGTTGGTAAAAATTTAAAGAATTGGCTAGACTGTTTACCTTTCATTGAGTTTGCTTACAATAGAGTACCCCACTCGGCTACTAAGCTTTCACCCTTTGAGATTGTCTATGGTTTTAGACCCCTTGCTCCTTTAGATCTTACTCCTTTACCGCCGGTGCAACAAGTGAGTCAAGATGGAGTTAGTAAGGCCGAGCTGATGAAGACTATGTTCAAGAAGGTCAAGGAGAACATAGAGAAGAGGAACGAGCACTACAAGAAGAATGCTGACAAGGGACGCCGAGAAGTTACCTTTGAGCCTGGCGATTGGGTTTGGCTGCACATGAGAACCGAGAGGCTTCCAGCTCAGAGGAAGTCTAAGCTGTTACCAAGAGGAGATGGCCCGTTCAAAGTCCTCAAGAAGATCAATGACAATGCATATCAGATTGAACTTCCAGGTGAGTTTAACATCTCTAATACTTTTAATGTATCTGACTTGCTACCGTTTGATGTAGGTGAATCAGTTCTGAGGACAGAACCTTCCCAAGGGGGAGAGAATGATACAAACTTAGGAGCTGAAGCTGACGTTCCTACCATGAGACAAGCTCCAAGAACAAGATCAGGAACTAAAGACTTAGCTGATAGCTTCAACCAAGCAGTAGAGACACTGATCACTTCCCAACACCTAGAAGATGTCACTACTCAACTTAGCCAACTGAGCATCGCCAAAGAAGCAGCAATGGTGAGGGCACGTCTAAGCGAGGAAGGCATTCCCAGCAAGCAAGAAGACCTTCCCAACGAGCAAGAAGACGGTTTAGACATCATCAACGGTCCTCACATCAAAAGCATAGCTTATACACACGGATGGCCAATGATTCATGATAGCAAAGGAGTTTTCTTATTTAGCATTACGCTACTTAAGTGAAAATGCTTCTAAACCACCTAAACCGAGGTAAGTCCGATTTCCTATTTCAATATGGTTTATTCAACTAATAAAACTCTCTCTTTGGTTGTTTTGGTTCAGCTTTTATTTAAAACATTAGTATAAGGCATGTTGGCCACATTTTTATTTACATTTTCGTTTTAAGGCATTGTTAGCCAAGTAGTTTAACCTAAGGGTTTTGTAATCTGTTTCAAGTCTCTTAGAAGAGCAAAGCTGTTCGGACTGTTTATAAAATCCCCTCACAGCCGTGTATTCTTTTCAACATATCAATAAAGAACGAACTTCTTGGCTAAGCACCAATCTCTTGTTCTCTAAAGCTTTGTGTGATTCATTGCTTGAGAGTTCTTTGTCTTATCAAGGTTTATCTCCATAAAGCCTTGTGGCGACTTTCAATCCATCTTCTATTCATCTCACAACTTAGATCTTGCAAATAGAGTGGTACAACTCTTTGTTTGATCCCCATCTCGATCCACTTCCTTCCATAGCCCATCCACCGATTGTTAGCCGAAAGAGTTGAACAACCAGCGGTCCAATCCCATCCCCATACACGGTTACTTGCTTGTAGGCGTGTATCACCTAGGGGTCTCTCGATACGGTCCAAGTCTTCTAAAGTCTCTCTCGGATGTAAGATTCAAGGGTCTAGCAGGAGAGTTTAAACTCATAAATAGGCAGCTCTGAGTCATCGACTTTTGAGATCATCAATGTTCTTGAAGATGAAGAGAGGATTATCGGATTTTGGACTCCGAGCAATGGACTCGTGAATGCAAATTCAGACACTTCAATTTCAGGGAAGAAGTTGGGGCCCGTAATATGGCCAGGAAAGCCGACAGTTACTCCAAAAAGATGGGAGTTTCCAACAAAGAAGGGGAAGAAGAAGCTTATCGTGGGCGTTCCTGTAAAGGGAGGCTTCCCCGATTTTGTGCACATAAAGACAGATCCGATCACTAACAAACCTACCTCGGCCGGTTATTGTATAGATGTGTTTGCAGCTGCTCTTGAAAAATTGGATTACCCAGTCATTCCTGAATATATTGTGCACGAGTCTAGAGATGTGATATACGACGATTTGGTACAAGAAGTCTATAAAGGGGTTAGTTCTCTCTTTCTACTTTAAAATAAAAACCCAAAGTTCATCATTACATTACCTATTTATGTAATGATGCTTATATACTAGATTAGAATGGTGCCTTTAGTCAAGTGGTGCTTTCTCTACCAGAATTCGAATTTATGTACCGAGAGTGTAGGGTTGTTAGAGTATCAGTATTGCAGAGATGGTGATTGAGATTTTTAAAATATTTTATCATTAAAAACTATAAAAATCGATTATTTAAGAACCGATTCTAATGCCACATCATTTGAAAAACCCACATAATCTCTGCAATATTAATGTTCTTAGAGCAGTTTCATTAGATATCTAGATAGAACATCTCAACATAAAAAAAATTAATACTAATAATGATAAAGCAATAAAAGAAGAGAAAGGAAGGAAGAAAAGAGAGTGAAAGTCTCTCAAAGAACAAATCATGCATGTAAAGAATATTAATATTTTAGTAAAATTTAGTAACTTAGTTAAATTCTAGAAAATCATTAACATATCAACAACTATTATAAACAACAATGAAAAGTATCTAAAAGCAATTCTAATGGGAATATTTAGAAGAGTATCTCATTTTTAAAATAATAAAAAAATTTCAGAAAAAAAGAAAAAAGGAAAGAGAGATGGGTATCTAAACCTCAACAAAAAAAGTTGAGATATTCTAATGTTTTCTTTTAAATTTAAACTTTAATTATTTAACTAGATTATATCAAAATAATTAATACTTTATCTATAAGATATCTGTTTGAGTATCTCAATTATTAAAAATATTCTAAGAGTTGCTTTTTTGAAAAACCATTTCTTTTCTCTTTTTTTTAGATATTTTTTGAAATGGTACCGATAGAGATACTTTTAGAACTTATTTTACCTTAAGAAAACATTTGTTATTATTTTATTAGTTTACATTTTAGATTTTATTATATTATTAAATTATATTAAATTATTAAAGACTTAAGTTTACATAATCATATAATCATCTAAGGGCAGCAGCATTGCAGAGCTTTTAAAAGGTTCTAAAGAAAAAAAATAAAAAAATAAACAAAAAAAAATAATGTGGCGAGATTTATCACAGGATCGCCTCTCTGCATATAGGTTGTAGGAGCGCCTCTCTCATGATGTGGTGAAATGCGATTTGTCAAAAAAAAAATTTTAATCATTTTTTATTGTTTTTTAATAATAAAATAAATTTAAGAACTTTTTTTTAAAGTAAAAACTGTGCGATGCGGGTGCTGTAATGGAGGTGCTCTACAACTGGAGATACTCTTTTCGTATCTGAACAATAAAAATATTATAAAAAAGAAAAAAAGTAGAGAGAGAAATAGATACGGTTCCTTATTAAGAGATTTTGAAAAACGTTTCTAACCATTTGAGAAACTTCTTTGTATATATGGCATATTTATTGGTTTACTTTTTACAGCTGGGTTTGAACGTTAAAAAAATAAATTATGCATTGTAGGGTTGTTATATAATTTCTAACATATTATTAATAAATGAGGCAGAAATGGGATGCACTTGTTGGAGATGTAACAATAAGAGAGAACAGGACTTTGTGTGCTGACTTCACGTTACCGTTCAGTGAGTCTGGGGTGTATATGTTGGTGCCAATGAGAGACAATGAAGCCAACACATGGGTGTTCCTCAAACCTTGGAGCGTAGGCCTATGGGTCACCACCGGTTGCTTCTTCGTCCTCATTGGTTTTGTTGTGTGGCTGTTCGAACACAAAGTCAACCCCGACTTCCGTGGACAGGTTAACCACCAGATCGGCACTAGTTTATGGTTCTCCTTCTCTACCATGGTTTTTGCTCACCGTAAGCTCTTATTACAACAATCAAGAACTCAATAGTAATAAATGTTAAATATTAGAGATTGGTTTCCATAAGTGAGAGAGTAGTTTACGACTTTACGTTGTTTATATTATAATATATTATATTAAATTTCAACTTATTTTCTATTGTGCGTACGCGTGTATATAGGTGAGAAGGTGGTGAGCAACTTATCAAGATTTGTGATAGTCGTGTGGTGCTTTGTGGTGCTTGTGCTGACTCAAAGCTACACGGCGAATCTCGCTTCTTTGTTGACGGTACAACGTTTACAACCAGCGGTCACAAATGTGAAAGATCTCATCAAAAATGGGAATCCTGTAGGGTATCAATACGGCACTTTCGTTAAAGATATTCTTGAAAAAGAAGGATTTCGTGAACTCAAGCCTTTTGGATCCGCCGAGCAATGTATCGAGTTTTTATCCAATGGGTCAATTACAGCAGCTTTCGACGAAGTGGCCTACCTTAGAGATATATTTTATCACCTTCCTAACAGGTCCAATATGCAATGGTTGAAACTCCCTATAAGTCTGCTGGTTTTGGCATTGTAAGTTTCTTATTTCCTTTCACTTTATGAGAAAAAGTACCTATTTTCATTGCATGTAGGGGTGGGCAAATTATCCGTGATATTTGATTCGATCCGTTATTTGCTTCGATTCAATTCGAAAAATCCGGATATCCGTAGCTTTACGGAGCAAAGCAAATACTAAATTTTGATATCCGTTAAAAATAGAACAAATCACAAATATTAAAATTCTAAGAGTCGGATATCTGATCCGCTCCGATATACATATATATGTGTATATATATAAATAATTACATATAGAATATATAGTTAATATAATTATATGTAAATTTTTACGAATTTATATTTATTTTATTAGTTATTTTAATACGAAATTTTAATAAATTTAAAAAGAAAAATTTAAAATTTAATGTATGAGTTAATTTTTGACTTTTTAATTATTTTTATAAATAATTTGAATTATTTTATAAATATTTTAATTATTTTATAATTAATCTAATATTTTAAAACATATCATATATCCGGTCAAAAATCTGGATTTTAACGGATATCCGAATATCGGATATCCGATTAGTAGCAGAGCAAATACGGATCAAAAAATTGTTGATCCGTACGGAGCGGAGCGGATCACGGATATCACTAAAATTCCGGATATCCGCTCCGTGCCCAGGTGATACAATACTTGAAATGTGGTTCAAGTAAAGCTTCTTTGAATCTTTGCTTCTAGCTTAAGGAGATGGAAGGATGACTTGAATGGTTGAAAGTCAGGTTGAGCTTGATGACCACAAACTCCAAAAATTAGATTCTGCTATCTCAAGGGCTAATCCACGCAAGAGAATAGGAGATTCTACACAAATCTTCAAGGCTGATTCCACAACACTTAGAAGAAAAGCAGGAACAAGTTTAGTTGCAAAGAATTTTCTTTGTAAACAAAACAAATGGGGTTTTAATTTCTTTAATAATTCTGAATATAAAATACACTGGAAATGAGCTTATATATTGCTCAGAAATAAGGTAGAAAAACGGTAACAAAAAGAATTAAAAATAAAGCATAAAATGTGATCAAAGTAGCTTAAGTGATGGGATTTTGGGTCTTCTAGCCATTGTCATAATGGGGGAATGAGAGCTTGATTTGTGGTGACGAAATGTAAAGATTCTTTGACTGGTTTTGATGCTCAGGATGTGATGAAGTGAATGGATGGTCGAGATCTTCAAGTGATAAGAGATTCTGGCAAGTAGCTTCTTCTTGGTTTCTTCTTGGACTTGGGACGGTTTTTGCTGGTTATTGGCGTGGTTTAGTAATCCTGAATATCTTGAAATACTCCTTGGTGGTTGAATGAAGTGGTGAGGCGAATATAATGTCATGAAATCCCTTCTTTCCTTAGTTAGCTCCAATGTGGCTCCATTTGGTGGTTTAAGGCAATTTGGTGGTTCTCTTTGGTTAAGTGACGACTTGTATTGAACCAAGGATGATTTAGAAGGCTCATTTTGATGATCAGAATGGTGGTGTTTTGATATATACTCCTCAGCTTCTTTAAACACAGCTACAAACCCTCCAAACTCCTCAGCTACAAGCTTAGCATCATCTGGTTTAGCTCCAATGCTCCATCTCTTGACTGGTTCAGTTGTATATGACTTGATGCTTACATCACCAAGCCTAATTGCATGCTTCTAATTTTCTTCCATCATCGGTGTGTAGGCATTTCACAAGAATTCTCCTTTGAGGGATGATGTCTCAAGGGCTATCTTGAGTATGACTGAAGCCGATGAAATGAGAAACATTGAGAACAAATGGTTCGGGAAACAAATTAATTCTTCTGATCCAACGAACGTTATTGAGTCCAACCGTCTAGGACTCGCTTGCTTTTGGGGACTGTTCTTAATAGCAGGCATTGCTTCATTCTTGGCATTTCTCGTCTTTGTAGCCCTCTTCTTGCACGAGCATTGGCACACGCTACGTGGTGTTTACGGAGGTTCCGTGTGGAGAAAGCTAACGTCTTTGTTCAGAATCTTTGTTGAGAAAGACATAAAGTCGCATAGTTTCAAGAATGTGAGTACACCAATTACTCAGAGCCCTTCGAGTGTGGAGATCAGACCATGGCCACGAAGCATGTCATTAAACAGGGAATTTGAGCTAAAAAGAGTCACTTTCGTCGTGAGCGGTGAACGTTTCAAAACGCAACCGAAACATGATGGAGAATTGATATAGCGAAACATAACCGATACGTGATGATGAATCGGAGCTGAGTGATATAGCGAAATTCATTAAGGAAGTTCCGTAGCAAGTTACATGATAAAAAGTTCAAAAAAAAAGTTACATAATAATCCATGCATATAACTAATTCCATGTAATTTATTAAGTTTTTTCATCTGTTAAGGTATAAGTTATAAACTTTATATGTATATGCTGTATTTATTTATAGTATGTAAAAAACTAGTTTATGAAAGATGTAGGTCAAAAGCAAACAATATAGGTCAGCCAAGCTAAAAATCTCATAGCCCAATTTCTATCTCCCACGATCCACACGGTCCAGTTTAGTTGGATTCAGATACATTTCCTTCTTATTTCAATCTCTGAACATGTCACTGAACATGTCATGATCTTTAGGCATGTTTGTTCTAAATTTGTTATGTGAGATTTATGATAACAGTTTTAAAGTCATGGTTGTTTTACAATTTTCAATCTATATTTATAAATAATATTATCCCGGAAACATCAATCTAAAATTCTACATTAAAATTGAATCATATAATAATTAAATAACTGTAATTGATTTTATTGTAAGTTTGTAACACATAATTCTAAGTGAGCTATTCTACTCCTTACCCAAAAAAAAAGTGAGCTATTCTACTATCAAGATTAATAACAATAAAATTTAATGATTACATAACTATTAAACTGTCAATATACCTATAGTCGCTACCGAAATGAACACCAATCGTATATAAAAGCATTTTAAATAAACCATTTCAAATTAACATCGATGTATATAAAAGCGTTTTAACAAAAGAAAGAGCAAACAAGACTAACTGCAACAACAAAAATATTGTCAAGAAACTAGTGGTGTAAAAGGTTTTTTTATTATTCACGTTTAGGAGGCGATGTCTTATATACAATTTTGATTGCATAATCTAGATACAGGTTCAATATCCCTCCCCCCCCTCCTTAAGATGGAGTGTGGTAATTGCAAACATCTAGCTTGACTAGAAAATCTTCAAACTCTTTCCAGCCCAATGCTTTGGTTATTATATATGCAAGTTGTGATTTTGTTGAGACGTGACGTGTAGTAATCGTCCTACGAATTATTTCGTTACGAATGAAGTGACAATCCATCCCAACGTGCTTGGTTTGAGTGTGAAAGACGGGGTTAGCAGCAAGGCTGATGGCAGAGAGACTATCTGAATGAAAAAGAATCGGTGCTGAGCAGTCGATGCCGAATACAGGAAGCAGTTTACGGAGCCAAAGTATCTCTTGTACCGTGTCTGCCATTGCTCTGTATTCCGCTTCTGCTGATGAGCGAGAGACAACATCCTATTTTCTCGTTTTCCATGACAAAGGAGAGCCGCTGAGCTGAATGAACCAACCTGTAAGAGAACGACGCGTCAAAGGGCATGTGCCCCAGTCAGAGTCACACCATGCTGTAAGCGTTAATGGTGTATTCGCCTTTAAGAGAATGCCTTGCCCGAGGGTTCCTTTCAAATATCGAACCACACACAGAGCTACTTCCCAATGAGCGATTTTTGGTGTATTCATGAACTGAGATAGTATGTGGATGGCGTATGAGAGTTCAGGTCGTGTGATACCCAAGTAAATCAATTTTCCAACCAATCGACGGTAGCGAGTTAGTTCTGCGTACTCTGCACCATCATCCAATGATAACTTGTGATTTTGATCAAGGGGAAAGGAAGCAGGCTTAACTCACAGTAAACCAGTTTCAGTAACAATATCAAGAGCGTACTTCCTTTGGTAAAGGTAGATTCCTGCTGAGCTGCGAGCGACCTCGATTTCCAGAAAATAACGTAAGACGCCGAGGTCCTTCATGTGAAAACAAGAGCTTAGATAACTCTTAAACTCGTTAATGACCGCTTCTGAACTCCCGGTGATTATCAAATCATCAGCATAGACTAGGACATGAATGGTCATCTGGTTTGCTGCATAGATGAACAGAGAGTAGTCGGAATGATTCTGTTCGAAGCCATAATCTGTCAAGAATGTTGTAAGTTTGGCAAACCAGCAGCGAGGAGCCTGTTTAAGGCCGTATAAGGATTTGTGAAGTCGACACACCTTTTTTTTATCATCAGTTCGAAACCCAGGAGGAAGTTGCATAAAAACTTCTTCTTCAAGATCTCCATGAAGGAAAGCATTGTGTACATCCATTTGATGAACTTGCCAATCATTGGATGCGACTTATTGAAGAAAGCCGCGAATGGTTACCATCTTCGCCACTGGTGCAAAAGTCTCATTAAAATCAACACCCTCTGTTTGATTGTTCCCAAGAACAACCAGACAAGCTTTGTGTCTTTCCAATGTTCCATTGGCGTGAAACTTAAGTCGGAAGACCCACTTACAGCCTAAAGCTTTCTTGCCGGGGGGGGGAGATCTTTTATAGTCCATGTGCCACGATCTTCAAGAGCTATGACTTTATCTTTGATTGCGAAGCGCCAATTTTCATCAAGGATCGCATCTTTGTAATATTTAGGCTCAACCGCTGAATTCAGAGCCATCACATAAACCTGATATGCCGCTGAAAATTGATTAGTGGAAATGTAGTTATCCAGAGGATAAGGGGTGGCTGCAGGGAATGGATCATGGAGAATGGTCCGAACGTAATCCCTCAGTTTCGTTGGTGGATTTTTCTTGCGGAGCCCACGACCCAGATCAGCATTCGCTTCCTCATTGTCGGAGGAAGACGGCGATGTATCAGTATCTGGGAAAGATAGCGATGATCCATTGACCTGTGGAGAAGGCGATGAATCATGGTCCGATGAAGAAGGCGAAGTCTCGTTGTCAGATGAAGAAACCGAGTCAACCGGTGTAGTTGGTGTTATCGGTTCGGAAATCTCTTGTGTGTCCATTTCGGGTGGCAAAGCTGGCTGTACAGCTTCAGTTTCAGTCGTCGAAACCTGCAGATTTGGAGTTGCAGGTTCTGGTACTTCGGCAATTGGCGTGTCGAAAACAGGGATATCCGATGGAGACGATGCAAAATCGTCAAATACGTCTCCAGAGTAGTCTTTGCGAGGCAAAGAGGGAGAGGAGTCTGGTGAGAGAGAGGCAAGCGAGGTAAACGTAAATTCAGTTTCATGGAAGATAACATCCCGCGAGACTGAGATAACACCCGTTTCTGTGTCATATACTCGCCATCCCTTCTTTGCAAATGGATAGCCGATAAAAACAGATCGATTACTTCTTGGAGCAAACTTATCCCTCCATGTTTTTGGTTATGCACATAGCAAAGGCAGCCAAAAACACGCAGGTGAAGCAAATGAGGAGGACGGTTATAAATGATTTCAAACGGTGTTTTGCCTTGCAGTAGTTTCGTTGGAGTTATGTTGATCAAAGAGCTAGCCATGAGGGCATAATATCCCCAGAATTCGATGAGAAGGTTTGCCTGAAATCGCAGTGCCCGCGCGACATTGAGGATATGCCTATGCTTGCGTTCAACTCTGCCGTTTTGTTGTGGTGCACCCACACAAGCTGTTTCGTGGATGATACCTTTCTCAGCAAAGAATTTGGTTAAACAGATGAATTCCGATCCATTGTCACTTCGTATAGTCTTAACTGAAGTCGAAAATTGTCTTTCAACCAGAGAAAAAAAATCTGTGAGGTGATGAGGTGCTTCTTGCTTTGATTTTAACAAATAAATCCATACAGCACGTGAGTGATCATCTACTATTGTGAGAAAGAATCGAGAGCCACATATAGCGGTGCTTCTGTACGGACCCCAGAGGTCACAGTGAATCATCTCAAAGACAAAAAGTCGTTTTATTTAAACTCAAAGGAAAAGGGTTTCTCGCGTGTTTAGCTCGAATACAGATCTCACAAACTTTAGAATCAAATGAACCACTACTAATATTAGAAAGCTCCACCGACTCCAATGCTCTAGATGAAGGATGTCTCATGCGACAATGCTAAAGCTCCATAGAATATGACTTCTGCAACGCTGCTGCAACAGCCATTCTTCTAAACCAGTACAGTCCATTTTGTTGTTCACCCGCACCAATCAGGGTCCTCGTGATGCGGTCCTGGATAATACAAAGTCAATCAGTTGTTTGGATAACACAGCCACTATCTTTTGGTAACTGCAAAACTGAGATGAGTTGACATTGCAGGCCATCAACAAAGTATACATCTAATAACAGAGTGAGGAACACAAACGAGCCTTGCCGAGTGTGTTTGAGAAGGTATGTCTTCCATCAGGAAGTTTAATCAGAATCGGAGCCATATGTCGAACATCAGATAAAAACTCAAGAGTGTCGGTCCTATGATTCGAAGTTCCAGAATCAGTGACCCAATATTCAGAGAAAAACATACCGTGTAGACGCTCATTCGGAGGAGTTTTCCGTTCCTCCAGCATACGAACCAATGTCTTCCACTGATTATCGTTGAGACCACTGATTCCCACCCTATCAGCTGCTGTAATATTCGCGTAGGCAACAAGTTCGCCACCTGTGGCAGCATGATTAGCTCGAGCAGAGTCGTTGCTGCGAGGTTGTTAAGAAGCAGAGGTTGTAGTAGTTCCCTTGTTTCCTCCGTTGTTTCCATGTTTGTTGTTGCGCTTTCTTTCATCCCACCATGGTGGAAACCCAATCTTTCTGAAGCACTGGTCCACGAGGTGACCGTTGTGACCACACAACGTGCATGAGAGAGAGCCTCTGTTTTCGTTTGGAGCTCGCTGTTTGTAGTTCGTTTGAGCTCTGAAACTAACACCCTCGGTGCGCTCTTCATGAATGCGACTGGCCAGTTTGGATTCTTCATCATGTGTTAGCATGTTGTACGCTTCTTCTAATGATGGTAATGGAACTCGGGAGAGCAAAGCCGATTTAACAGGACCATATAAAGTTTTATCTAAGCCCATGAGAAACTGATGTAGTCGATCTTCCTCACGTTCTTTACGGACTTCTTCCATTGTCTTAGCTTGTTGGTAGTCGGCTAAGTTTCTCCACAGCTGCGAAAATTTCCCAAAGTAAGCTTCAATCGGAAGCCTTTTTTGGCGACATGTTGCGAGCTCTGTTTTTAGTCGTTGTACTCGCTATCCGTTTTTCACACCAAAACGTTTTTGGAGATGGATCCAAAGTTCATTCGGGTCTGCAATGTGAGATGTCGATGTAGACAAATTCTCATCGATAGTGAGTTTCATCCATGAAACTACGAGGGTTATGTTGGCTATCCAATCCTCATAGTCGAAGGAAGTTTCATCGGGTTTAGGAATGGATCCGTCAACAAAACCAAATTTCTTTCTGGCGGTGAGAGCTAACTTCAGATTTGTTGCCCATTCGTCGTAGTTAGGGCCACGCAGCAAAGGTTTGGAAATTAGGGTTTCCGAGTTATCACCAGATGTGAGGTCGTATGGTGATATGGTACGACAGCTTTTGATTCTCGGTTGCATAACCGTACTACTCATGACCGATTCAGTACTCATCGTGTGAGAAAGATTTCGTGTTCAGAAGTAAGACGAAATCAAAGACAAAGAAAAGAAAAAAAAAAACAGATTTAGATCACAAGATCAAAACAAAAATCTTGGAGAAGTTAGGTTATTGCTCTGATACCGTGTCAAGAAACCAATAATGGTGTAAAAGGTTTTCTTATTATTCACGTTTAGAAAGCGCTGCCTTATATACAATTTTGATCGCATAACCTAGATACAGTTTAGGTGTTTCTATGTATAAGCCTAATACAGGCCTAATAAATATATAATATACTTAAAGAATAGAAAATAAAATAATTGAAAAAAGGGCAAAGTTTCTTAAGGAGGAGGGAAAGATGAAGTGTGAGCAGCTGATGAGGAGTTTAAAGCCAAGCGGTTACTGAATTTTGCAGTGATCACTGATTCTCTCTGCCTCTGTGCTGATGTGTATCTCTGAGCATGTCACGGGGTACGTTTTCTAAACCTCCAAATATTTTTGATTTATAGTACTCTAATATTTTTCCTCCAACTTATCCATTGTGCAGCCATTTCACCGCAACCAAGGATCATACACAAGTTTTAGTGCTTACTTTTTCAACGAATGTTTCCGATCGAAGAGACAAGTGTAAGTAATTTAACTGAGATAAATAGTTAAACCATAAAACTGTAAGGAAAAAAAAAAGTCAAAACCAAGTTAAAAAAAAAAGAGTCAAAACCATAAAACATAATTACCTGGTGTATTCTTTTTGTGCCGATTTTAACTGTGCTTTTTCAAAAATTAATTTCTGTTTTAAATCTTTGTATTCGATCATGTATCCCACCAGGTATCACACTTTATATTTCATTTTGTTTTTGGAATAAAAAATTCAGTTGGCAAATAAAAAAGTTTATGCAAATAGCTGAAAATCACTAGTCCTTTTTTAACGATTGGATTTAAATCGAAATAGGTGTACGAGAATAAATTTTCTCATTTTCTTTAGAGTTAACTCTATAATTTTTAAATTTACTAAAATGTTTTTTTAATATCAATTATCAAAAAATAGATAATAAACAGAAGCCTAGATATTTAAGTTGACCAAAAATATTCTCTTATAATAGTGTGTGGACTGTGTAGTCGACATTTCTATTGTATTACTATAGAAAGAAAAAAAACACAATTAATTGTTGTTCGAAGCAACCTATTTTTATTTTCTACAGTTTTTTTCTTTGCATATTTCACATCATCCAATGGAAATAAATTTTCCAAGCTTGTAATAATAGTTTCGTATTTTACAAAATGCTAGGTTTTACGTTTCATTGCTTCTTTTAATATAATCATAGTTTCAATTGACTAATATACTTCGAATATATCAAAATTTGATCATTTTCCTTGAGAATTTTTAAGTATACAAGAAATGCTGTATATACGAAAAGAACGTTGAAATTAACCATCACATCGTACCAAAAAAGATTCGTACTCCTACAACATAAAAGGAAAAAACAAAATTTAGTATTTGTTTGATTAATGGAAGCTTTAAGATTTTCCAATAATCTTTAAAAAAAATATATATAACGTTTAACTTTGCTAGATTTTTTTCTGGCAAGAGAACTCAACCATACAACATTTTCAGTGGATCCCATTTATCTAAAATAAAATATGAACGAAGGTCTTTGTTTTTTGTGGTCACTAAAGTGTAATGTGGGGTTACCCAAAGGGCAAGTAAAATTAAAACGCTAATACAACCCTTTACACAAATACCAATGAATCCGCATAGTATTATTTTCTCCTCGTTAGTTCCGTACATGTTTTTGTATCGACAAGATAATAAAATCATCCTTAATATAATTGTAGATCATCCAACGATCACAACAAATCAAGCAAACTTTAACTACAAAAAGAAAGCAATGAGAAAATATATGAGAACAACAAAATATACTGCGCCGAAAACTTTGTGCTATGTAAGAAACTGATAATAGAAAAAGTCAAATAATTTGTGTTTAGAGAAACTTAAATTTTCCTGTGATGTGTAGGCGTGTAGCCTATATATTTATGCAAATTCAAGTTTCCGTTTATTGGACCAAAGAACCGTCGGCAATTTTAGAATTAGTTTTTTTTTTAACTAAATTTTCATTTTTCGAATAATTTGCAAAATAAATTTTTTTTAAAAATTGAAGGTACGGTCTAGCAACAATATACGACGACTCGTATACATTAGCTACATTCATTGGAGGAGATTTTGTAATTATTATGTATATAATTGCTAAAATCTACACAAATATATAAATTTGTGAAAAAAAAGAAAAGAAAAAGAAAGGCCAAGAAAGAAGTGTCTTTCCACCTCTAACTAGCTATATAAACCCCCTCTCAATACTCATCAAGCATAAGTCACTAACAAGAATCAACACATACAACTCATAACATAATTATTCACTTGAATCACTTCTGAATAATGCAAATTCGATCATCATCATCTTCTTCAATTTTCTTCTCCTTTGTTTATGCTGATGAAACGGCACAAATGATCACAATAACTAGTGTAGTAGTAGTGTTGTTAGTGGTGTTGCTTCAGAGGCGGTTGCACCGGAAAAAGCAAAAACGAAAGTTACCGCCCGGTTCCATGGGCTGGCCTTACATCGGAGAGACACTCCGCCTCTACACAGAGAATCCTAATTCCTTCTTTGCCACCCGCCAAAACAAGTATATATTTTTCCTCTTACATACATAGATAGTCATAAATTATTTATATATTTAACTTAAGGTCTATTGTTCATTGTAATTTTTACCGGGCAAATTTGTTGCTAAAGAAGTGATCTTATCAGTCCGTTCTAGTACATGATTCGTAGTTACCAACAAAAAAATCCACATTTCTTTATGTAACATCTTCTACTTCAAATTTAACCCATTCATGGTGGTTCAAGTTCACATTGTTACTTGAAAAATACCATGATTTGAGTTTTCAATCTACGATTTATTCAACCCAATAAAACTAAAATGACAAGAGTATCCACAGGTACGGAGAGATCTTCAAGACGCACATATTGGGATGTCCATGTGTGATGATAAGCAGTCCAGAGGCGGCTCGAATGGTGTTAGTAAGCAAAGCACATATGTTCAAGCCAACTTATCCTCCTAGCAAAGAGCGTATGATTGGACCAGAGGCTCTCTTCTTCCACCAAGGTCCTTACCATTCTACACTCAAGCGGCTCGTGCAGTCTTCCTTCATGCCTTCTGCTCTCAGACCAACCGTCTCTCACATCGAGCTCCTCGTCCTCCACATCCTATCTTCTTGGACATCCCAAAAGTCCATCAACACCCTTCAACACATGAAACGAGTATGCCTCTTTGATCTTGTATTGGGTTATACGCATGAAATGGTCCTTAAGGCATGCCAAAAATAAATACTGACAAAAGATTTCCAAATTTTGCGGGGCTCACTTTATTTATTTATAAAAAAATCAAGTTAAATTTGTGTGTGCTTATGGGTTACGTTAAAGAAAAAGAGATTTGAATATTTTTGTGGGTCCACTTTATATAAATGTGTTTGGTTGGAAAACAAATTAAGCTTGGAACTTAGGGTTTATGAATTACTTTATGTCTCTCTACAGTATAATTATTTAAAATAATTAACCATGTGTTTCAAAATCCGCATAGGATACCGGATTTTTCAGGACCGGGGTTGATTTTATGTATCGGATCTTTATGAAAGAATTGGATTTGTGGGTGTAGTATGCATTCGATGTGGCGATCATGTCAGCGTTTGGAGACAAAGAGGAGCCCACTGAAATCGAAGCAATTAAGCTTCTCTATCAACGCCTCGAAAAGGGTTACAACTCCATGCCTCTAGACCTACCTGGCACACTTTTTCATAAATCCATGAAGGTATATTATAGTAATGTTTGAACTATGTATAACGTATAATAATATATATGAAGCTAGATCATTATAGATAGAGATCATTCCTTTTTTTAAATAAAGGGTTAGATAGAGATCATTCTTTGTACATAGAACGTGACAAATCTATGTAGAATTGTATACCACAAAGAATTGGGAAAAAAAGTTTGTAGACTTAGGTTTTTGGGGACCACACGTGTGCGATATTATTCTACATAGGTTAGATTCTTTTCACAAAATATGAAGACAAATTCATCTTCAAGGGTAGATGTTTGATGTGTTGAAAATACTCCATTTATGTTATTTTGTCCTATTGATCTGTTAATAATAAGTAACTGACAATTATTAGGAGGAAAATTACCCTCCATTATGATGTTTTAAATGTTTCACAGATATTAAGAAAATAATAATTATTTATTTTTTAAAAGTCTTTTTTATTTATTTATTAATTTAATATTAATTTTTTATATTTTTTATTCAAAAAAATATTTTAAAAAAAGAAATATATTAAATATAATGTAAAAAATTAATCTTTTTGGAACAAAATAAAAACTCAAAACATTCTACAATATTGAACGAAGGGAATATTAAATAAATATTTTAATTGAAGGCAAGGAGAGAGTTAAACGAGGAATTAGGAAGAGTGATCGAAAATAGAAGAGAAAGCAGAAGAGAAGAAGGAGGACTATTGGGTGTACTTCTCGGCGCAAAGGATCAGAAACGCAACGGTTTAAGTGATTCACAGATCGCCGACAACATCATCGGTGTAATCTTTGCCGCCACCGACACCACCGCTTCTGTCTTAACTTGGCTTCTCAAGTACTTACACGACCACCCCGATCTCCTCCAAGAAGTCACCGTAAGCAAGTTTATCTCTCTTTTTTCTTTCTTCAAATTGTAGAAATTTGTTGAATCTCATATATAGATTGCTAGAGTTTTTGAAAAATAATGATAGTATTCTCTTTGCACATTCGAGTTTAAAATATGCATCATAATAACAAAATACTAATCATATTGACTGTCATTTTAAGTTTGTATCGACGTTGTGCTGTCATCATCTAGATTTAGTTCCAATAAAATGTTCTTACATCAAAACATTTTTTTTTTATTACAACATTTTTATTTAATTACATATATTTTTCATTTTCTTTAATAGAGGGAACAATGCGGCATTCGACAAAAAATAAAGGAAGAAAACCGAGGAATCTCGTGGGAGGATACAAGAAAAATGCCACTGACCACAAGGGTATATATAATATCCCGTTACATTTTGATATAGTAATTAATCATAATTAAAAGGATGATACCATCATGTCTGTAATTAACAATGGTACTTGTACGTATTTGAAATAGGTGATACAAGAGACACTAAGAGCAGCAAGTGTATTGTCCTTTACGTTTAGAGAAGCAGTACAAGACGTCGAATATAAAGGCTACTTGATCCCAAAAGGTTGGAAGGTCCTTCCTCTTTTCCGGCGAATCCATCACTCTCCCGATTTTTTCCCCGAACCGGAAAAATTCGATCCTTCTAGATTCGAGGTATACATTACTATACATATACATTCCTATAAATCTCATCTAATCAAAAGAATACGATTATCGACTACGTACATACATATATACATATATGCATGTTAGATAAGGTGATTAAGACATGAAACGATGACATTTTAATAATTCTAGTTATCATATGTATATGGTTGCGTTTCACCAAGAAAGACTAAAACATTATAAAAAAAAATTGCATGAAGAACCCAAAGTCAAATCTAGGGTCAACTATGTGGGGACTTTGATGGACTTACATTGCATGTAGATGATATCTTGTAATGTCGACAGGTGGCACCAAAACCTTACACGTTCATGCCGTTTGGAAATGGAGTGCACTCATGTCCAGGAAGTGAGCTGGCTAAACTTGAGATGCTTATCCTCCTTCACCACCTCACTACCTCCTTCAGGTATTTTTATTGTTTTCCTATAATTTTTCTGGATATTTTATGACAAAAAAAAATCTAAAAACAAATATGTCCCACTGTCTTAAAAATGTCTATGTCCAAAATCCTTAATTTCAAGCTCTTCCTTCTTTTCACTGTTTTTCTTTGATATTCTAGCTGAGGATATCAAATCGAATTCGAATCGAATCATTGGAACCACTCATAATGATCAAGCATAATTAAAATCATACATTTTAAGCACGGAGTACTATCATCCGTCCTTAATATCAATCAAACGTAAATCATTACATCTAGCACAACTCTCCTTTTAAGTATATATATGACCATAACAGTTTTTTTTATATATTTCTATCAATATATATATACTACATTACTCTAAAACTATTTTAAGACGTCATCGTTTCATGATGTCATATATGCATTAAAAAGTTTTTTTTACATATTAACTACGTGTTTCATTCAAGATGTTTAGTTGAATTTGTGATGATAAAGGGTTCATAAAGTGGCCCAAGACGAGAAACAAAAAAATTGTGATGATAAGGAGGTTGAAAGAGATCGCCAGCTGTAACTGAAATCTAGCTAATATAAGAACCAATCTTGGATTTTGTTTCTATTCTTGAGACCTTATGAGTAGAGATATTTGTTGATAACAATAATTAGAAGTAACCACAAATAATTCTCAAACATGTGAATCGGCGACATGGCAAATTAGTACTTACTCTATATATGGTCCAACACACACAAAATATGTGAATCTCGTTAAATGTCGAATTAATTATTCGTATATATTACTCTTATTAGACAAGAAACTACTGAAGATTAAAATGAAGTTTGGTTTTTAATTTGCAGATGGGAAGTGGAAGGAGGCGATGAAGGAATACAGTATGGTCCTTTCCCTGTGCCCATGAATGGTTTACCAATAAGAGTCACCCCAATTTGAGCCCAAGGCATATATTTGGGGCTCTTTTTTTTTTTTTTTTTTATCTCTAATAACACACATGCTTTAGTTGCTCTCTTACCGGTAGATAATTTTTTTTAAACTTTAATCTATCTCATTTTAAATATTGGCCACCAATTTGGCTCGTTTTATTTTGTAAAAATGAATTGTTCCCCCCAAAATCCTATGTAAAGTTGCAATTTAATGAATTTTATTTTAGTTACTTGCTTGGACCAGATGAAATATCTTCGAACTCTATTATACATGTCCAACTAGTTTATTGCTATCATGTTGTGACAGTTGCGTTGAAATATTTATGTTTATGTGTGTTGAAGTATATATATATATATATATATATAGGACTTCTGGTCCAATTAGTATTCCGACTTTAAAATCAATATGTTTGATTAAAATTTTGTTTTTGATGTATCCAACAGACATCACATCTTAGCTTCATTTTTGGGTTGGATCTGCCCGTATAGATTATATCCTTCGGATAAATAATTAAGAGTAATTACACTTCATCGTTCAAAATAATCATATAATTAACTGACTAAATTTTATTTTCCTTTTACTACTATTTATTTCAAAAAGATATAAAATATTCTTAACTCTTATTTCTAGAATCATTAAAGAAATTCTAAATGTTTTTATATTTTCGTTTTTCTCTGCCAATGACCAATTCTTTTACTCATTCACGTAAAATTTTATGTTTTTAATTTCTTTACAAATTTCTTTATGTGTCTCTCTCTTATATAAAGTTTAAAAATAATAATAATGGTGGTAGTAATAAATAGGAATAATGATTAAAAAATGACAATAATAATGGTAGTATTATCAATGGTGACAGTAGTAATGGTTATAATAGTGGTGATTGGTGGTGATGATAAAATCGCCAGTGGTGATGGTGATGATGATGGTGGTAATGTTGGTTTTGGTGGTGGTGGTGATGGTTATAGATGATGGTGGTGATAGTAGTGATGGAGTCGAAGATGGTGAATGTTAACACGCTAAGTTATCATGCTCACAATGTTAGTATCATAATTTTTTCATATGATTACATTGTTAACATGATAATTTGGCATAATTTATACAGTTAACAAAATTAACTCCTATTTTTTATGAAGTGATAGCAACGTTAGCATGATAGTTATCATAATCACAAAATTAGTATAATAATTTTTTTGATATGATAATATAATTAATATAATAATTTTATTTTTTATTATATGATAACTAGTTAATTCGATATCTTATACAATGTACTAATCAAGTATCATCTTAGTTAATATAATTAATATAGTTAGTATAATATCATATTAATTTGCGTGATAATCAAATTTTTATTTATCCAAACCGTATTAAATAAGTTTAAGAACAAAATAATCATAATTTATATATGTAATGTATCAATCTAATTTTTGATTATTAACTCTACCATTTACTAAAATTTCCCAATAATTAATCTATACTGCAATGTAAAAAAAAAGTGTATAATAATATGTTTTGTTTTCTTCTAAAACATTTTTCTACAATGCGATATCGAATCTTAAAAATAAAAATAATATCGGATCCTTGTTTAAAGATTCCGTTCAGACATAACGAGTATACACAATTGTTTGTACGGAAGCAAACCTACGTATTCTATTCCATTTAGTTGTAAAGTTTTTATTGATTATACAAAGTCTTACTTCTAAATAACTAACTGTATTCTCTATTTATATTATAAGAAATCTTAAACCGTGTTTATATAATAAATAATTTGATTAGATTACAATTCGTCTTATCATGTCACTAACACGGAAGTATATAAAGCCTTGAGCCATGGAAGGGGGACAACAAATACAAACTTTAGTCTCGTGATCAAACGAATCGCCACGTGTCACGTGCATGCGACGAATCCACCTAACACACCTTGTAACTAAGCTTACGTGGTACTCTCGATTTCCATAAACGAAAAAGATTGAAATGAATCTAATTCATTGTCCCCGATTTGTCTCTGTCTAAATTGTCAGAGAGAATCAAGATTTGTTCAGAGTATAATTGATTTTGCATTGGTCCAAACTACTAAAGAGTCTCTAGCTAAGCTATTCCGAGGGTCTGGTGGACAGAGATTGAACAAGCTCCAACCCTTTCTTATCCCTTTTGTCTCCCTCTCTCTCTTAAAACCCTACCTCAAAGTTTTCACATGATTTGTTTTTGGAAGTGTCTCTCTCAATCTTTTTGTTTCTTTTTTCTTTTATTTTGTAAAAATAGGGAATGATTTGAGACGACTAAAACGTGTACAAAGAAAAGAGGGAGCTCTGGTAATTAACACGATATTCCTTTGGATTAGATACGTGAAGTAACCGAAACTTTGAAGTTTCAAAGCTATATTTTCAGTCTAGTCGACTGAAAATGAGAGGAGTCCTTCAAAAATATTCGTCAATAATTATGCAATACGCCGTCATATATATGTCTGGACCTGGTGCCATGATTTCCATATTGGGGTTTTGCTACGTATCCGAAGTTACAGTACATTGTTTGTGAGGGAGACAAGTTATGTATGTATGTTTCTAATTTTATCAAATGATTTGAAGAGCCATAATATTTCATTAACAACAATGCAGAGCTTTCCGTAGATGAGGGTTAATTGATTTAGTAAATTGTATGCATGCATACTTGAAAGTGGATAAAGTCTGTTTGAGGTGATCTTGGCACCGTGTAGCAGGCTCATCGCAGTCCATAAAAAGATGGTTACCGAGTTTCGATGATGGACTGCACACGAGACTGGATCAACTATACGCATATATATTTTAGACTATATTCAAATATTGAAATACAAACCCTAATTTTTAGATTAATAGTATTTGGGTAATTTAAAGATTTTATGATGAATCATCCAAATTACACACTATTATTTTTGTAAATTATACGTGGACCATGTGCAAATGTACATATTGCATATGCACATAACCGGTTTTAGTTACAGTAATACACAAACCTTTAATGGGTTATATATTAATGAGAAACTGATATCTCATCAAATATACTGGAACCAAAGCATGTACCAATAAATACACAACATAAATCTACATCAGTTTTTAATAATACACATGAATTGTAAAGCTTATTTTTGTGTGAAAACCATCTTGTATGCCTACGTTCTTTGCTTATAGACTCTCCTCTTGGAACAAATTTGTAGACCTTACCCATTGACCGTAAAATGACTTCCATTGCGATCCCAAAGAAAATCCCTCATCTTCAAAGACCTAGGGCTGAGTTTTGGTGGCAGTAAATGTGACATATCAAAATTATTAATCGCCGATAAGATTGAAAAATGAACAGTTAGTTTGTCATTTGTTCATGTCTTCCCAAGCTTGTTTAGCATAGTGCGAATCGGGAAAATGAAAGTGTTGTGTCTCACAAAATGTAGTGTACGGATGGACAAACGAGCTCGGATTAATCACATATGTTAGAAAAAAGAAAAAAAAGACTAAAAAGCTAATGAAACAAGATTTTTCGTTATATGTTAACGGGTGCGAAGAACGATCTAGTGAAAGTGACGAAGACAACGTATGCGCAAGTAGCTGTGTACTGTTTCAGCGATAAAGCTGGGCTGCTTTCGTTTCCATCTGAGGGAACATAAACCGTATAGCAGCAAAACCAGTGCGATCATTAACAAAGAAGTTAGGGTATGGGTGAGAAAAGCTTACAAGAAGACCATGGAGCTGATAAAAAAACACAAAGAGCTTGTGGCTCAGATTGCTGAGCTTTTGGTGCAAGCACTGTACCAGCTGAAGACCAACGTAACGTATCCACGGTGAGAACCAACGTAACGTATCCACGGTGAGAGGAGGTCCGATGACGCGTTCAAAGGAAAAAGACTTGAGAGACAAGTTTAACTTAGCCGTGAAACAGATCATGAACACACGTACCGCGGCCGAGGATATGACGAGATGGTACGATGACATTATGGGACGGGACAATGGCGTGACGAACTGACCCCATACCACGGTCGAGTGCATTACCACGCGGGACGACAGCATTACCAACCACCCTTGTACTGCGGAAGATGGCATTACGGGAGGACTGACCAGCCAATACAATGAATCAATGGGCCAAGGTTTAGACGACATTCAAGAGCTTCAAGACCCAACTAAGCTTAAGGGAGACTCAAGTTACAACGAGTGGCCATTACTCAAGGGAACAACCGGCCCAAACTTGTTCATCATCGACCCACTCCAAAACGACACTTAGATGGTTGGCGGCCAAAGACAACTTATCTTTCACACCAAAGGATCAAGAGGCAACGGTAAGCTTGTCAATTAATTCAATATATTCGTGTTTTCCTTTCTTTTTGCATGGAATGAACATTAGTTTCTTTGAGTACTTTTTCATTAAAGCCTATATAATCTTTTAGTTATTTTTTTGTATTTTTGCTTTAGTTTCTCTTTTATTTTTAGACCCTAGAAGGTCAAGGTCGAAGAGCTATTAATAAAGCTCCATATGCGATATTGTAGACACAATTTTTTAACCCGTATCAATAAAATCGGCAATTCTTCTTCAAGTTAAAGTCTTGAGTTTTCGCTTTTCCTTTGCGTGTATGATTCACCAAAGTTACAAGTGTTTTAGCTGTATCAGAGATCTTTTTATACTCTCTGTGGTGCCCTCGATCCCCCAACATTCATCATTCTTTGAATCAACGTGAGAGAGTCTAAGGCCAGCACGTTCATTCCCATCCCATAAGATTCGGTCATCCGAGTCTTATACCATTTAGTATCAGAGCCGAACGGTTCTATATCAGGTGATATCTATCCCTTTACATTACCGTTTGCTCTTTTCTGTTGCTTGAATTTTTGCTTTAAGAAAAAAACCCATAAAAAGTTTGCTTCCGTATTGTTTGCTTGATTAGATAGTCATATCTCGGATCTATATCGGTTTTTTTTAGATTCACCGGTTAACTATTTTTCTTAGGCTTGTTATTTATCTTAGTATTAATCAAAAACCCCAAAAAAAAATTTGTTTAGCTTTGCTTGTTCGTTGTTAATTTGTTTTCATAAAAAAAGAAAATCCCCAAAAGAAGTTTTTGTTTTCCTTTTCAACAAGTGTTAGTCAAACAAATTTTTCCTTGGTAATACTTGTTTAAAACATGTTTATTTTATCACTTTCTAGCCACTGTGGTGCTTTGATCTAGTGTTGTTTTTGTGAGATACAGGAATAACACGGGAGAAGAAGTTCCCCAAGACGCTGTGATACAGATGTTAGCCACTTTCC